CTACCTGATAACGATTACTTAATAATGTAAAACCTAAAAGCCCTAAACTTGCTGTATGATTATTTTTAAATTTTACGTATGTTATGTTCTTTAAAATCGAAGAAGCGATTGCCATACATTACTAACATCTACAAATGCATGAGCAATACATTTATTTTTATTAGATTGCATTAAAAAATCCTCTTTTATTTTTCTTTTAGAGGCTATCGCTTCTTTCATTATAATTTTAGCGTCATTAAAATTTATTCTGTGCCCTGTGTCCCATGAATGCTTTTTTTAAGACATCAACTTCTTTAAGAAATTCATCCATATCTTTATGTATTTTGTAATTTCCTTTAAAACTGTATGGAAACTTGGAAAAGTATAAACAGAATTAACCATTTGAGAACAAGCGAAAAATTTAATGAAATTATCACAATGCCAATAATTTTTTTTCTCTTTTAAAAACAATCCGAGGACATACTGTATATACAGAGTGTTCCTTAATGACATGTTTATATTTTTGGAGGTTTCTTGGAAGAGAATTATTGGACCTATTAAAGAAAGCAAGAAAAAACTTTATATGAATGTATGTCCTAAACTTCTTAACTTTTGAAATACAAGGTTGTAAAATTCTCTAAAAAAACTTTTTTTATAATATCTCCTATATTATTATACAGGTTGTCTTTAAAAGAGGAAACACTTTTTTATTGAGGTTGAGGCAGATCTCTCCGCCTTCAGGACCTTTTTCTCATCAGAGAAGCTATTTCACGTTCAGAAGTCTAGGGAAAGCCACAGCAAGTATTTTTCCAGTGGCTCTCCATCTAAAAATAAAAATTTTTAATTCATTTGACGCGAACAGAGGATCAAGCACCCTCTGATAAATCGGACGATAGCAAGCTAGGTATTTTTCTTATCAATGTTCAGTCCTTAAGACACAAAACAGATGAATTATTTCTTTTATTGGAACAGCTCAAATTTCCTGAAATCATTGCCATAACGGAACATTGGTTAAATACCGATGAGCCCGTGTTTGTGAAAAATTACACAACAATAGCTAGATTTAATAGAAGTAATTTATCTCATGGAGGTACTATTATAATGTCTACCAACAACAAAAACCTTACGGCAATAACAAAATTTGATCACTTATTAGCCGAGAAAATGTTTGAATTTTCTATCATCTACCACATTGCTTATGACCTCTATATTGTTTGTATTTATAGAACACCTGACGCAGATATGCATATGTTCTTTCAGAAATTACTGAGTTTGCTAGAGTCCCTGCCTGTGAATAGCAGGTTGATCTTGTGTGGTGACCTAATATTGACTTCTCCAGTGTGTGTGATGCTCGGGTATCTCTCCAGTCTATCTTCGAGACTTTTGGTGTAGTAATGCATGTTAATGCACCAACAAGAATCACTAGAACTTGTTCTAGTACTATAGACTATGTCGTGTCATCCTTTGATCCAGAATTGGTTGACTGTACTGTGTTGAACTCAGGCTTCTCTGATCATGAAGGAGTATTAACAAAATTTTCCATAAAATCCGAGAGTAGAAACACTTTTCGTAAATTAGGACGTATTTTTTCGGAAAAAAACTTTATAAATTTTAAGCAGCTTTGTCTAACAACAGATTGGCATGTCATCTCTGGTGATGTAGACACTGAAGTTTCCAGATTTACACAAACATTATCTGGTCTGGCATCCAAAGCCTTTCCTCTCAGGCCTGTCAAAATTAAACATCATAAACCCTGGACTACTAAGGGCCTACGTACATCTGCAAAAAAAATACATGCGCTCTTTATCTCACCTAAAAAAATTCTCGGATAGTGTCTTCTTTCACGAGTACGTGAAACTTTTACAGGAAAAATTTACCATAAGACTATAAAAGCCGCCAAGGACATCTATTACAATAGGAGGTTGACTGAGTCCGGTAATATTGCCAAAGAAACATGGTCGATTGTGAATGACTTGAGGAGTAAGGTTTCTTCGTCCAACATAACCTCAACTTCACCTGAGGGACCTAAACAATTACTTTGTAAATGTGGCGAAGAATATAGTGAATACTATCTCACCCTCCCTTGATCCTCTATCATTTCTCTCTGACTATAATGCTAATTTGCACAGTTTCTTCCTTACGCCTGTGGGGTTGGCAGAGCTTCGCAATACATTAAATGATATTAAAAATAAATCTTCAGCAGGGACTTACTCTTAAAATGTTCTCTAGTATGCCGGAATGTACATTAAACCATCTTTCAGCCTTAATTAATATGTCATTTGAAGATGGTGCTTTTCCAAATTGCCTTAAGTCGGCGATAATTATTCCTTTGCATAAAGGAGGTGATAAAGAGCAAGCTTCCAACTATCGTCCAATTGCACTCCTTCCCACGTTATCGAAGATCATGGAGAGACTGGTTAAAAAGAGGCTTGTATCATTTCTTCTAAAATACAAAATACTCACCCCCTTTCAGTTTGGGTTCTTGAGTAACAAATGTACAAATGACGCTATGTTTTCGCTGTTTAATAATGTATACTCCAGTCTGAACAACCGTCTCGTTACAGCAACAATTTTCTGTGATTTCTCGAAGCTTTCGATTGTGTTAATCATAACATCCTACTAACAAATTGCAGTACTATGGTATCAGGGGAACGCCTCTTGAATGGTTTAAGTCCTACCTTAACAACAGAAACCAGCGTGTGAGGGTTGATAAGACTGTGTCTTCTTGCAAGCCAATAGAATGCGGAGTACCTCAGGGCTCAGTGCTAGGTCCTATTTTGTTTCTGTTGTTTATCAACGATATTGCTAGTCTGGACATCAGTGGTAAAATCTGTCTCTTCGCGGATGATACTTGTTTCACATGGAGCAGCCCGGACACCACGGCACTTCATAGAACCATTTCCAGTGACTTAATCAACATAAAAACATGGTGCGATTCTAATTATCTGTGTCTCAACGTCTCTAAAACTAAAGTCTTATCATATAAAAGTACGTTGCTACCTTTTCAACTTGATAATACCACCATTGACGTCGTTGATTCTGTGAAATTTTTAGGCCTTGTTGTGGACAACTATTTAAAATGGGATTTGCAATCGATGCTTTAGCTAAAAAATTAAGTTCTGCCTGTTTCGCACTTAGATCAGTTGCTAATGTGCTTAATTTGTCAACATCTAGGACAGTCTATTATGCCCTTTATGAGTCGCATCTCCGATACGCACTTCCATTCTGGGGTGCGTGTTGTGCGACTCAATTTGAGCGTATCTTCAAATTACAAAAGAGAGCTGTGCGATATTCACTGAGGCTAACCAGTTGTGCTCACTGCCGGGACTTGTTTAGAAGATATAAAATATTAACTCTTCCTTCCCTATTCATACTCGAATCCGTCTGCCTAGTTCGCAAGCACGTATCGAGTATTTCTCTAGAGCCAGTTCATGGCTATCCAATTAGGAACGCAGAGCATAACATGTATCTGCCAACCCCTCACTCTGAGTTAGTAAAGAGTTCCCAATTGTACAATGCAAAAAAAAATGCACTATCATCTGCCATCTGAAATTAATTCCATTTCATCCTTTCCTGCATTTCGCAGAGCCTTGAGATCATACTTACTGGAGAAAGCCTTTTACGCGGTTAACGATTTTTTTATTAATATCTAGGGTTCTAAATTTAACACACATTCACTAAATTTAAGAAATGATTTTGTTTTCTATCGATTTAAATTTAGTATTGACATTATATACAGTTGTTTATTTACATGTATGTTTATATTTTATTTATATTTAATTAAATAAATTTTTGACAATGTACAATTTCTATAATTGTATAAAGTATTGTTTTAGTTTTGTATGTTTGCTGTTAGTTTTATATGTTTTTCTATTGTTAAGTGAAGTTTTGTATGTTTTTTATATTCTTTTTTTTAAGTTTTGTCAACAAAATTGTAAAATTTTTTTATGACAATAAAGCAATTTCTTTCTTTCTTTCTTTCTTTCTTTCTATTATTGACATTTTGAGGAAAATGCATTCGTCTATGTAATATAATTTCTATTTCATTCTTTGATAGATGGTTTTAGTATCACATTTTCCGATAACTATTACCCTTTCCGTAGCATTAAACTAAATAAATTTTGTGCTTCTTTAACACTAGCAAAATATAGAAAATAAAATTCTATAATTATCAACCTATCAAAGAATCAAAATGGAATTATATTACCATAGAAACGCGTTTTGACTTTTAAAATTCACAATAATTTCATCAGGTTTTCTTTAGTTTTCTCTAAAACGGTATGGAAATTTGGAAAAGTATAAACGGAATTAACTATTTTAGAACAAGCAAATATTTTTTAAAGGATGCATTTTTCTCAAAATGTCAATAATAAAGAAGTTTTTCCTCTTGTAAAGGCAGTCCAGGGACATACTGTAGATATCTTTATGAAATATAATACATTGCTTCTTGCTTTTTTACATATATATATACATACTTGCCTTTTTGTTGTATTAATATTATATTTATTTTAACCGGTTTTTTTTATTTTTTTTTTACAAATAAATACGCACCTAAAAATCACAATCTCATTAAAAAGTTTATAAAAAGACTTTTACCACTAAAAATCTCAAAAAAAGTAATTCCAAAAATACCTATCTTGCACAGTTAGGTTGCTAATATTTAAAATGCGATATATAAATAATATTGTAAAACAGTACGTAAATGCAACATTCTTTTTCAAGTGTTTTTTAACAACTTTTTTCGCACTAGAATTTGTCACATATATTATTATTTGAATAAAAGTTGTAAAATAAAACACAAATAAACCAAATAGCCAAACGCGCAAAATTAAAGTTTTTTTGTGTATTCTAGTGAATTATTGTTTTATTTTGCAGTTGTAACACCAAAGTTTCCAACCCCCAACTGTAGTAAAAGTTGTGATAAATTGTGTAATAATTTTTTGTTTGTAACAACTGAGTGAAATATATCCCTTCTAAATAATTTCCATAAATGACTATAAAATTTATAAATAAATACACACCAGTAGATCCGAATCTCATTCGATTAAAGTCTTTAAAAAAATCCAGCAAATTAATCTCACTAAAAACCACAAACAAAAAAAATACTTTCGAAAAAAAAATATTTCGCGCGAAATTCCACTCTACGTCGAGATGACGATATTGCGCGCGTCCAGATATCCAGAAAAACGACCTTCCACAAGGGCCTTCGCGAGCTACACTAAAATTCGAGATGCCTGGGATGCGGTCGGCGATGCTCGCACCACTCCGATCGTCCACGACCGACGTAGGCGACTGGATTCTTTCCCGTCGGAAAACGGCCGTACTGGGGACGATAATGGGGAACGATCCAAGTTTCTGCAGCGAGTTTGACATTGACGTAGGACATGGTAGACGACGCCGCTTTAATAGACTTCTAGAGTGAAGGATTTTATATGCATAATGAGTGAATATATGAGACACGTTTTCTGTGTGTTTTAATTTTCTTTTTATCTTAATATCAATATTACCTCGGCAGTTTGATTTCGAAAAAGGCCAATATCGATTCTGAAAATCAGCACGGGATTAGCAGCGCCTCAAGAGCATATTGGAAATTAAAAGACATGATGTTCTACAATCATGACTTGAGCACAAAGACGAAACTTGCAGTGTACCGAGCAATAATAATCCCCACTGTTATATGGAAGCGAAACCTGTGTCCAACACTTACCAAATGATTCCACTATATATCAAACGTATCGGTCCCTGAAAAAGCTAGATGCAAGACCGTTGAAGTCATCATTACTAAATCCCGCTTGAGATGGGCTAATCACGTATGCAGTATGCAAGAAAACCGCCTACCAAAATATCCTCTTTACGATGAGTAAAGTAGTAGACGGTAAGAGGAAACCGGGTGGACAACTCAAAAGATACAAGGACATTTTCCACGAAAACTTAAAAGAGATAAACAACCAGAATCAGTGGGAAAAAGCAGCGGTCAATAGAATGCAATGGAGAATTGTAAACTCAGTTAACAACGACAACCTAGTGCGGAAGAGTACTTACTTGTTTTTCATCTTCCACTTGTAACAAAATATTTAATTCATTTTCATTTATTATTTCTCGATGACTTTTATAAATAAATATTATTCTTATTTTTATATTTGCATTTATTAATACCTGTTGCTGTTGGATTTTTTTTGAATTTATAATATTTAATAACTCTTCTGGCCTATTTGGGGAATGTACAAGAAATAAATCCTTTTCAGCGTGTAGACTATTTCTTCCATAATAACAATAAGCTATTTTTGTATCTTCACTTGTACAGGGTGAGTCTTAAATAAGTGCAAATATTTTCAGAGATGGTAGATCTCGATAAAAGAAACATATTTTCCTTTTACCATTTTTCTGATAAGTCTAAAATAACCGATTTATTTAAGTTTGAAAATTAAAAAAAAATATTTTTTTAAATTTTGAGAGCCACCGGATTTTTTCTTTATTTGCATCTCTTTTATTGCCGTAACCGTGTAGTAAAGCCCTAACTATGGTAATATCAAAGATTATAAGAAATTATACCGTGGGAAAATTCGCGGTGAACAGGCAGTTCTAAAAACTTTTCGAAAAATATACAGAGAAATTTATAAGAAAATGCACGATTTTCAACATCTTTTTTTTGCGAAGAAAACTCATAGACGTGTTCCTGGGATCGAAATATACCGCCGCTGAAAATATTTGCATTTATTTAAGACTCACCCTGTATAATTCATAGTTTACAAATTATTTTTGACACGTATAAAGTCAATATGACACATTAAAAAAATATTTTTTAAATAATTTTTGATAACAATAACGTAAATTTCACAGTAAAAAATGAATTTGAAGGTGGCATGCATGTGGCATGTTTGTTATTCCCATCAGGAACGGAATATTTTGTCAATTAATTTAGTATATTTTTTATCTTTTTATATAACTGCAACAAGAATTCGTAGGCGCTATTGAAATTAAACAGTTTGCTTTATTTTAAAGAGTTCTTTAAAAAGTTTCAAATACATTTTTCTGAAAAAAAATGAAGAAAACTTATTCATCATTTTTAAAATATACATGGAATGTAATATGTTTAGGTCGGCTATGTAACAGACTGTATTATAGATAGTTAGAAGAAAAATGTCATAAACATATCAGAACAGAATTATCCATATTGCAAGATTTTTTGCATAATCTGCGAATATGTGATATACAGGTTTTTACTCTCGAAAGAAAAATTTCTCAGCGCTATTAAAGAATTTAAAATAAAATTATATACACAATACAGAATTACTTATTATATTTATTTTTACAGACGCACATGAATGTATTTTCTATTGTTGTAACCAAAGTTAGTTAGTCTTTATCGTCTTTAGTGTATGGATCTGGTGGTCGCCTATAAAAACCAGCCGTCATTGGTCTTTTCTTGTATTTTGGCTTCTTCAGTTTCTCCTTGGGACATCTCTTACTGGAACCAGTATTGCCGTGTTCGCATGGTGGTGGTTGGCCTTCGTCATACCTCCTCTTTTTGTCAGCCAAGACAGTAGCCTGTTTTAATTCCACGGGCTATAAAAGAAATTTACTGTAGATACGATATCAAAGGTCATGAAACTGTACGAAGTTTTTCTACTAATTTTTTACTCAGTTCGTTCAGAACGAAAGAATACCACTAATATTACAGATTTAAAAGTAATATCTTGTAAGCTTTGAATAAAAAGATTAAGGAAGGAGCATATTAAAAATCTTAAATCGACTGCTGCGGGGTCCTACAATGACTTAAATTCCGGTTTATCAGTGCCGTTCTAATTTTATTCAAAACGTGTAAAAATATGATGTAGAGTAGACATGGGTTAGACTCTATAACTTGTTATTTTATTTTACGTTGTCAATAATTGTTGGTAGTTTGGTTTGGTTAGGTTGCGTGTGTGTGGCATATCTTTGTAGTCAGGAGAGTTCTCTCAAAACCTGAAATAAACAATGCAGGTTCGTATTTAAAAAAATTAAGTTAGCCTCTGTATCTCACAAATTATCAGCTAATTTGAAAAATTAAAAATACTATTATATAGCCCTACTAAAGTGGCTATGAGAATATGCAATTAGTTTTTTGATTTTTTAAAATGTAACAACAGGAAAAAATAAAATTCGTTTTCGAAAAAATCCGTTTTTTCCAAAAAACTCAGCAATCCTTCAAATTTTTAAAACTTCTTTCATGGCATCTTGGTGAACATCCCAAAGCGCAACTTTGCCCCAATTTTACCATGTTCGTATCTATTACGATTACCGAGATTTTGTAGCACCCTGTATTCTGATGAATTTGACACTTTATTTAAATTTAATATATATTTTCGTACTTTTGTGCGTTAAAATGATTGTTTTATACTATACTCTGTTTTTTTTCTCAGGTAAGATTTCGACAGACGATGACAGAAGAAAAACAGATGACGTCCCATACCAATCTATTTATTTTACTAAAAAAACTAATAATTTTTAAGTTAACTATGGATGTGTTTAAATATAAATCCGTTATGCGTCGTCTCTTGTTGTTTTTAACCAGTTTTAGTGGTTTATTTCAAAAATGACAGATCGTATTTCAATTTTATTGGTTTGACGCAACGATGAACGACAAACGGACGCGGATGCGTATGAACTCGCCTTTAGATTTTTGACGCTTGTCAAAGTCTTGCCAAATTATAGGTTATAATTTTGTGTCAACTTTTGTCAAATACCCTGCGTTTTGGAAGATGATGCATTTTGATTCGTGTTATTACCTGTGTTTTGTGTCCTTTAAAGTCAAGTGGAGGAAAAATCGAGTGTAACTGTAGACCGAGAGCACAGTGTATGGTTGTTAATACTCGCTGCCCAGGCAGAAAGTCTTATACACCAATAAAGTTACAAGTTACCATCAATAAAGTTCGTATACCATCTCGTCGTAGATAAGTGAATCTAGAATATTGTAGGACCATACTAAACACATACTAAAAACTGGAGTAGCTGTAAAATATCGACATCACACGATAGGTAAATAATGGATTTTAGTACTGCAGAAAAATAATGTCAAAAGGTACTGGTTCAAAAAAAATTAAGATTAAAGTTAATTAATCAACCTTTAAGGTATAAAATTTGGTAAGTGTTATTATTAATAAAATAGTTTGTTATATTTATGTTGTTTTATTTATTATATTACAAATTTGTATTTGTACATATAAGTTATATTGATAAATATAATCATAAATGCGGTGAGTTTCATAAAGCTTGAAAGTAAGAAATCGTTCTTTTTTTCTTTTTTTTTTTTTGGTATATGGTGTCTTGTTCTTGTTAGTTTTGTATTAACACATACCGTTTTGATTAAAAAAAATAACTCGATTACCTACATTTTTTCAGTTTTATACAGCTTTTTTCACAATATTTTGAAGTAATCACTTGTCAGTCAAATTTTAAATATTTCCTGCTATGCGTTCCAGTTGTACTAACTTATTTCTTTGTAAATTAAAATAAACTACTTTGAAATTAAAATGACAGACACATCTATCACTGTCAAGGATCTTCTCGCTGGACAGACTATATCAATCACGTCGCAAAAATTAAAACTTTTGTAACGTTTGAAAAAGAAATGTCTTTAAAATACAGAGCTACTACTTATCTGTATTTTATTTTTTCTAATACAGAAAAAAAATCAAAGATCTTATTAAAATCGGGGAAAAATAATTTTATTAGGCTCAGTGTCGGAGGCTCACACAAAAGAAAGATTGATGTAAACCCCTGTCAAATATCCAGTCATTAAAAACGGAAATTTATAACTCCCCTACCATTCTTACGCCTGTAATGGTGCCAAGACAATATTTTACACTTCTGGGCGCCATTGTTAGCACGCTTAAGATATTGCTTATGAAATTCCTTTGAAAAATGTCGATGGGTTATTTTGCAAATGCGCGAGACGAGAAGTTTTGCGCTTTTTAAAAACCCAAGAAAACATATAGAAATTAAAACAGACATAAAATTAGATAATTCTCCTTAATTTATTACTTCCTATATTCTACTAACAGTATAATTAATGCAACAATGTTAGTTTTAAAGTTTTTTATTCAAATTATATTATCATACAACAGCTGTCAGTATAATAAAATTTAATTTATTTTCTGCTCTTAACCTGGTCTTTAATCTTGTCTTTCTTTCTCCAAGTTTTTTTAGTCATTTCCTAAAATTAATTTAGAGCATTTATAGAAAACTATTTTTGGTAAAATAAAACACTAATACACCACTATACACCAAAACACTTACTTTTGCACTAGAGGCGTATTTTGTAATTAGATTAAAACTAAAAATATTATGGTGAATTAGTCTTTTATTTTGCTGTTGCAATACCGAATGTTCCAACCCCCCAACTGTAAATTAGTTTTAATTATTAGAAAGTAAATTATACTAGTAACCCAACCTGTTTGCTTCTTATGGTTTGTTTCCTGCATCCAGGTGGTTCACACTTTCCCTCCTAAAAAATATCATTAATGATTGTTGAAAAACAGCTGTCTAATATTTGTTTAGATATACATAAATATAAGGGATGTGTGGTACTTACCAGTGGTTCAGTGACGACACTTTTTTTACCTCTGCCAGACCACCAGTCAACATCACCATACTCAATATCCGTGTTCTATAAAGAAAGACAGAGCACTGTAACTAAAACTGTCACCGTCTTTCAAAATATGATACGATCGAAAAAAAATCGGCGTTAAAAACGGCTCGGGAATGACAATCGATAATAATTTTAGCGAAGTCAAGCCCGTACTCTTCTTTATTTTTTAAAGGGCGCTCACTGCCAGTTGGCATTTTATTTTTATATTGTGTAAAAGTGATTTTTATATGGCGTAGTTTAAAATTCTAAAGTGTGTCTGGAAAGGTTCTATTTTTTTTAATCTTTATATAATTAGTGTTAAATTTTATGTCAATTTCTAGTAAATGACGTCTAGAGAGTGACCTCGTCAAAATTATCATCGGTTGTCATTCCCAGCCCTCTTCGACGCCTTTTTTTCGGTCATACGGTATTACTCGAAATATTAGGCTATTAATATCTACACAGAAAATCATGTAAATTTATCCAAATTCCAAAATCTTACAGATACAAATACACAGTGTCTCTGAAAATGTGTTATTATCATTTTTAGAAAAATGCGTTCTTCGTAAAAGTTTCTGCTGCTTCAAAAATGGCTAACTCGTTTAAATTTCCATTTTTTTTATTTTTTTTTTGTTGATCCGGTAATAAATGTATACATATATTACATACATAATTAATTACATATACCGGGTGCGTCTCAAAAGTGGCTCACCCCTATAACTTTTTTATTTTTACAGTTAAAAAAACGAGATTTCAAAGTTTGCAGGTCAAGCTTAATTACGTGACTAAAAGTATATTGGATATGAATGATATTTCATTATTCCCTTTTTTAAAATTTACATGTGGCTTCCAAATGTTGAAGTATAAGCAATTTTATACTATGAAAATTCAAACACATAATAATTTAATTGAGTTGCTGCTTTATTTGCGATTTTTTTTATTTATACAAAGACATATTTTTTATATTTTAATAAAAATCTGGATCTGCTCTAGTTTTTCTGTTGGTTGGATGAATGCACCTGTTCCTCTCTGTATTCTGAAATAAATATACAAAACGATAAAAAATATCAAATGGCTATTTCTCCAAGGATATAGAACTCCAATTTCATATTTAGGCAAGTTACCCATAATATGAAAAAAGATTGTATTATCTTATCACACTTACCTTTATTTCCATCAAGGCGATAAAAATGTGTCACAATTCTTTCAAATTAAAACAAAAATAGCAATATGGGGAACTTGCCTTAATATAAATAATTAGATAATTATTTTTTTTAAGTTGTCATTTAAATAAATATATACAAAGGGGATAAAGGGGATAATCACATTAATGCAAATTCCCCAACTGCATTATTATTCAAGACACTTGAACCAACTTAAAATTATATACAGTCTTACAAAATATTATTTTATTGTAACTAAACATTTGCTAAGAGTATATATAACAGTGACAGCCCAAAAGTTTGCAATAAATGAAAAATAAATGAATTGGTAAAAATATGCAAAACTAGTTCAGTAACAAAAATATCAGTTTGGGTTTACATGCATCCGTAATTCGTCATATATCGTTCCGTCACTCCAATCATTTTTAAGTACGGCGGTCATTTTTGAAATAAACCAATAAACACGCTCATTCTTTAACTGTCATGGTCGTTGGCCGATAAATGTAAAGTGGAATAAGATGACAAGATATCATTTCAAAGACAAAATTTTCCGAAAAATGTACAAAAATACATAAATGTTATATTTCTTAAAGATATTTCTATTTTTTTTTGAAAAATATAGCATGCAAATGTAAAATCAATTTTATAAAACTTTCTATTTGTCACTTTTCGATACTTTGTCATGTAACCACATGACAGTTGAATTGTAAACTATAAGCGATACCAAATAAACTTTTAGTTACGTCATCGAGAGCGCAAGTTGTAAATTCATTGTTGCCAACCATGGACATATTCGCGCCGGGCTGACTCGCTTAAATTTAAATTTCCTGTGGTAGCTCTGCTGTAAAAAAGGTCATCTTGCCCCATTTATTTATTTATTTCCTGTCATTTTGGTTCGTTTTAACACTTTAGTTTTTATTACGAGTTTTTGGTTTAAGTGAATTGTGTTGTGATACTTTAAGCTAATTTTTTTTACTAGCAGACCTTGCAGTTCAGCAGAAAATTGTTCTTTTTAGAATTTTAGTGCGAAATATACAATAAGCTGAAGCAGCTTAACAGCCGTTGTAAAAAAACTCATCACCTCAACCTTATTAGAGGAAAAGCGGTAGTAATGGCCATTTATGTCCACTAAGCTAACTTTTGTAAAATATTTTGATTAAAAGAAATATGTAAAAATCGGCAACCCTGTGCCAGTCAAGCTTAATCACGCGACTAAAAGTTTAATTGGTATGAGCTATACAAATTGAGCGTTTATGTAGGCGCTCAGTTGGTACTGACCAAGCGTAACAAAAAACTTTTTTTTGCTCGCTTGGCTAGTGCAATATCAAACGATAAATTTAAAAAACCATGATAATTGAAAAACATGAGTCATTAATTATCATCAAAACCAAACTAAAAGTTTATTTGGTATGACCTATACCGGGTGCGTCTCAAAAGTGGCTCACCCCCTATAACTTTTTTATTTTTTCAGATAAAATCGAGATTTGGTATGTTAGTATATGACATAAATTAGGATTGATTGACATATTCAATTGTTTTCGGTCACTTCCGGTTTCATCGGAAATGACTACAACTTTTGATTTTTAAATGGCAGCCTCAGTATTTTTTACTTTATTCGATAGAAAATGACACTCTGAATAGAATGACATATTATATGTCAACTTTTGAAATTTTCGCATATTTTTTTTTGAGGGTGTGGTAAAAAACCTTTTATAGGCGAGTGGTGTTCGTTCCTATCACCATCTCGAGAGAGACGATCATAGAGACGAACCCCAAACAGTGTATTTTCGCATATGGTGTATTTGAAATTATAACTTGCGGTCCGTAACGAAAATTTGACTCAAAGTGTGTGGTATCAAATTATTCGTAAAAAATGCTTTTTCCAAATATGCTAATGAGCCACCCTCGTTCCATTCGAAAAAATTGAGATATGATTAAAAATACGATTTGGGCATCTTTTAACCGACCAGGACAAAACAGTAAAAACATTAGACGATCAAATCTATTTTTCCAAGGCTCCTTGATTTAAGATTAGTGTTTTTAACACAGCCATGGCACTCTAGACTGAAATTTAAAATACAATTTGTTTTTGAGTGAATATGTCGAAAGTTGACATATGATATGTCATTCGATTCAGAATGTCATTTTCTATCCAAGGGTGCCATTTAAAAATCAAAAGTGGCAGTCATTTCCGGTGAAACAGGAAGTAACCAAAAACAATTGAATACGTCAATTAATCCTAATTTATGGCATATACTAACATACCAAATCTCGTTTTTTATATGAAAAAATAAAAAAGTTATAGGGGTAAGCCACTTTTGAGACGCACCCGGTATATAAAAATTATGCCTCTTTGTTATTGGGTCTCTGTATGATTTTTTTCTATAACTCAATCTTTCTCGCCACTTATTACAAGCATTTTGATGAGCATACTTCTGTAAAAATGTATAATTTCTATAGGGAAATTGGAACAACTTTCGTTGCATTCGTTGCACGTCATCAGTGACACCATGCGTCGTCTTATGGAGTTTACTGGTGGTCGTATTATGATGTGCAACGAAAATTATTTTAATTTCCCTATAGAAAATATCAATTATAATAGAAATAATTCCATAAATTAATGATACGATGTACTCCTAGAACGTAAGCATAAATAAAATGTTTATTAATGATATCTCAATCTAAAATCTAATACTATAACCAAATTTAGTTGGTTAGTTTTAGTTTAGTTTAGACTATATAGTATTGTCAAAAATGATCTAATCTTTTCTGAAAATGTCACCAACCGCTATTTCTAAAACGTAGAGTAAACGCCACGAATGTTTGGGAGTGATTTATCGCTTGATGAAGTTAGAATCGACACGCGCGCTATCATTTTTACATTAAAAACGTAAATTTTTACCGCAGACGTAGGTTTTTAAAGGCCCGGTCTAATCATCTGCCTGCGCTCCTCCTACTTATTCTAAAATGTTGGCGTGATTGACAAAGACGATACTATATCGCGTTTCTTTGATTGATTCGTTTTTGTGCGTCAGTCCATTGATGTGCTTGCAGTGCGACCAATGGGGCACTCCATTTTATATTTATAACCAAATATATGTTTTGACAAGACTTTGACAGTTAAAACAACAAATTACAACAGATTATATATTGACTATTATATGACTTGAAACACCACGGCACTGGAATTAAGTTTTATGTGACCTTGAACAGTTAGTTCACATGGTAGCGACCGATGAATCACTCCCAAACATTCGTGGCGTTTACTATACTATATATGCAGTGTCATAGATAAAGTCTGCATCATATGGGATTATTTGTATTATTTGATTTGGATCAAATTTGGCTTTGGCGATATTTTTTTTCCTTGAAATAGAATAAAAAGGGCATAATAAAGTAACAAATAGGATTATTAGTCAAGTCTTGAGGGACTCCATTAGAAAAAGGAATTTCTTGTTGGTCAGTCAGATTTCCAGTTTGTCGGTCAAATATTTATCTAGTAGTCATATACAGGGTGGCGCACTTCATTCGCCTCGATTGATTATCCGAAATCAAAAAAATGTAGAAACAAAAATTTTTATGGGTATTATGTGAAGAGGTAATGTACATATAATCGAAAATTATTTTGAATTATACACATTGTTTCAGAATAACAAATACTGGAGAGCAAAGGTATTTAAACTCAAGAGATACAATTGTTTACTCTTTTCCTTCATCGGCCATTATTCTATCCTTATTTTCCCATCTCTCTTACACCGAAAACATTTGCCAGATTTACCTGTATATTAGTATTAGTATTCGATTAAATACCACAACCGATTATGAAGTAATAAATAATTTCGTTATATTTCTATAATATATCAAGTACATTAATTTGCTAACGTCAATTTTTTCATTTAATACTTAACTATTTTAAATTTTATAATGGAATAAGAATATCATGATCGTGTTTCTTTTAATAATAAAAAGCAATTTCGCAACGAACGAGTTTAAATATCTTTGCTGGAGAGCAATAAGCTATTTTTTATATAGGTAATTTTTAATTCAACTTAAGGCAAAAACTACGTCCAATGCCAAATTTCATCTACAAGATTAAATTCAAAATACTATATGATCGAAAATAAACTTTGATCATATAATATATACTTGATAACAAAGTCTAAATAATTTTGGAGAAACTTACATCGTATGCATTTTCCTTTGGTCTTTTTGGCTTCTTGCCTTTTCGACAATTCGGAGGTTTTTGTTTTTTCTCGCACATCAACAATTGTTCGATGTCGTTATTAGAAGGAAGGTCCATCCATGATCCATTCATTTCCAGCCTAAAAGCGATATATTATAAAATTAGAAAAAAACAACATTTTTTTCCTTGTTATACCGGATGCCTCTCAAAAGTGGCTCACCCCCTATAACTTTTTTATTTTATCAGATAAAAAAAACGAGATTTGGTATGTTAGTATATGACATAAATTAGAATTGATTATCGTATTCAATTGTTTTTAGTAACTTCCTGTTTCATCGGAAATGATTACAACTTTTGATTTTTAAACGGCACCCTAGGTATTTTTTACTTTATTCGATAGAAAATGACATTCTGAAATATGATAGAAAATGATTCTGAATAGAATGACATATCATATGTCAACTTTTGACATTTTTGCCTAAAACAATATTGAATTTAAAAATTCAATCTAGAGTGCCATGGCTGTGTTAAAAATACAAATTTTTAATCAAGGAGCCTTGGAAAAATAGATTTGATCGTCGATCGCCATGTTGGTCACATTGCGCCGCGATCAGCAATGTTGCCGTTTATTACTTGGCAATTATCATAATGTCAGTCATTATTTTGTACAATATCGTGTTGTTGTTGAATTTTTAGGAGTAATTATCGTTTTATTGCCAATTTTCATAGTCAAAAATTGTACTTTTAAGCACAGTTCTTTTAAGAACTAAATTTTTTGGAGTTTTTGCATTGCATTTCTTGAAATTGTGTATCGAAAATATGCGAAAGCATTTAAATAGTCGAAGCAAAGTGTTTGTAGCTTTCCTGATAAACTATTTTGAACGAGAACATGAAAATAAAGGTCCTTTATTACCTTTGACTGCAGTCAGAGGAGTAAGTTTGATTGGTAAGCACATTATATCATTTTCAAAATTATGTCTTATTTCGATTTGTAGCGACGCTGCTGCCTTAAATTTAAATATTGCTACTGTGAGCGTTAGTGACTACTGTTAATAAATAAATTAATTACTAAAATATTAGTTATTAAATTAAAAATAGAACGTAAAAATCTTTAAAAAATGATATAATAAATATATTGTGTTCCAATTTTACATTAAGATTCATCTCATAAGTACATCACAGTCTTACAGCGCTGTCGCCATCGCTTGTCATTCAAAGTTGATCACGTGCATCGGAAATTGTTTTGCAATTACTTTACAGGGAGAGTCTTTAAATAAGTACAAATATATTTAGGAGTGGTATATTTCGACCCCAAAAACACGTCTATGAGTTTTTTTCGCAAAATAAACATTTTGAGAGTTTGGTATTTTTTGGAATTTTATAGGGATCTTTTTTAATTTTTGGTTAAAAACATAATAGCTTGATATCATAGGCCAGTCGCCAAGTATTAAAAAATAGCTTATGGCGGGAGCAAATCCGGACAAGCTAGAATAAATTTTATTTTGTTTAGTTTAGTGTAAGGAACCACGTGTTAAATTTGCACCACCCCCAAAGCCCGGATTTGGCCGCCATCTTAGAAAAAGTGGCTAAAATTCGGTTTATTTTTCATTATTTGTCAATAACTCGATTTCTATCAACTTTAGTGCAAAAAATGTATAGACCAAAATTAAAGAAAAGCTCTATAAAAAACGTTCTATGTACTTTTTCCGTGCGACGACCCGTTCCCAAGTTATCTCGCTTTAAACACGCTAAATATATTATAACCAGTTATTATTTCCTCTGTTCTAGGCAGTTTTTGTCTTTCCAAGAACCTTACTCTTCGTATTTCTTCACGGATTTAGTGGCTGCGACACCACATCCGCATTATACAGACAAGGAAAAATGAAATGTTCCTTTGAAAAAGTTTTACAGAAAGAAAAAGAATTATTACAGACAGCAGCACAAACTTTCAAAGATCCAAACGCATCCCCAGAAGATATAGAAAAAGCTGGAGAACGATTTCTTCTTCATCTATATGGATCCAAAAAATGTGACTCATTAGATAAGTACAGATACCAGTGTTTCGTAAAATCTATTACCAAAAGCTTACCAAACTCATTACCACCGACCAAAGACGCAGCTCGCTTGCACTCCTTCCGTACGTACAGTCAGGTACAGCTATGGTATGGGAATGAAAAATCACCTCTAGATTGGGGATGGAAAAATTCAAAGAATGGGTTTATGCCCATTGCTACTTCCCAAGATGCAGTTCCCCAAGAATTATTAAATCTGATTTCATGTAAATGTGCCAAAGGTTGTAATACATCTTGTAGTTGCCGCAAAGCAGGTTTGCGTTGCTCGGTAATGTGTAATGTGTGCACTTTGTCAGGGCCAATCATGTTCGAATAGTTTGGAGATGGCTTAATTAGACGAAGATGAGTACGAGGACAATTTTCCTCTCGATAAAGATCAACGAAAAGAATATTCTGCACCTTATGAACCAGATCCGGAATATGATACAGATGTGGAAGACATTCTGGAAGATTATATTGAACAGGCAGTGACATCAAAAAAACGAAGGAACTCTGATGAACCTTCCACCTCAAAAGAAACCTAAGTTGACGACATGTGGATTAGGCCTACTGGAAATGGCGAGACCACTAAAAAAAAACGCGCCGGGTACTTTACCTCAAAGCAGTTTCCTGAGAGATAAGGCGGTTAAACTTGATTTTCCACCAGTCGCGCAACAATAAAAATTTAGTCCGTTATTGCAGCCATAATGCAAATTGCGTTCTTCCATTATGACCGCGACAGCACACTACTGCCAACCAGTAGCAAACAAGTTTTTAGGCTTTATGTCTTGGGGTGCCGTTCAAGGTGGTGTGGAAACAAGTACAGTTAAACAAGTACAGTTAATTTTGTTTTCGTAAAATTCGATACTTTGGGTAGGACATGGGTAGTAAAAAAACCATACAACGTTTTTTATAGAGTTTTTCCTCTTCTTTAATTTTGGTCCTACATATTTTACATTAAAGTTGATAGAAATCGAGTTATATTGACAAATAATGAAAAATAAACCAAATTTTAGCCAATTTTTCCAAGATGGCGGCCAAATCCGGGCTTTACGGGGAGTGCAAATTTAATACATGCTTCTCGACACCAAACTAAACAAAATAAAATTTATTCCAGCTTGTCCGGATTTGCTCCCGCCATCGATGCACTTGCCGACTGGCCTAATCATGGCAACATACAAAAAAAAAGAATTTACAAGAAAAAAGAATTATTTACTCTAAAAAAGGTTTCTCGTAAATAATTCACTAAATCTTTTTTTGAGTGTACCTACTTGACTCTCTCCATAGTGTAGGGATTGATTATTTCGTCGCCAACTCCCAAGTCCCCATCCCTCAGCACCATGTTTACGCACCTCTTCTTCTTGCCCGTTTGTTTCTTGTTTTTTCGTCCTTCGCTCTCTTCTTTCTGCCTGCGCACTTCGCAAGGACCCGGCGGTTCCGTGCAGGGACTCTTAACGATGCCGCACTTCTTGCCTTTGCCACAAAGGTATTCCCTTACGGCGTTGATGGGGGGTGTGTGGGGGCCAGGAGTCACCACTCCGTTCACCATACTTCTTTGTAGGGTGGTAGATGTGCTGGAAAATAAAAGTGCCTTGATCATTGTAATTAGGTTTTCCAAACCGGGATTCCGAATGTATATTTATCCCCGAAATCCCGATATTAAATCTCGAGATCCCAAAAATCTTGAAAAATCTAAAATGCCTAATTTAAAATGATTCGACTTTATACACTTTATGCCAACTTGCACCGTTTGTATAAACTTTGTTTAAAGGCTAAACAGTGATTAACTATAATATTTTATTTGCACCATTACGTAATAGTACGAGAGCTAGCAACGTCGGAAAAACAAGTACTTTAAGACGTCTGGCTCTTTGATATATCTTTTACTATGCTCTCTAGAACAGCATGCAGCCCGTCTGGCTACCGGTAAACGTTGCGTTCCCTACTGTGCATTGAAAGAAGATCCTATATTTTTATTAGTCCTTTAAATCCTAGTATTGAATATAAATCGAACATGTCTCCATTGCGCCGTGCGTAGAGTTTCCGACCACGAACCGATGATTCAGAGTTCGAATCCGGGTCAGGACAAAGACTTTTTTAGTTTATTTTCGTTTATATTCTGATAGTAAAGTATTAAATATTTGTTTTTTTTTAATCACCAGAATTATTTAATATAATATATAAAATATCAATCACTTCCGGTATCCCGGGATTATAGGTTCTTATCCCGAGATTTCAAAACGGTATCCTGATTCCGAAAATTGTTAATTATTAAAAAAAATTATCGTTGTCATCGATTGCAGATCAACTATTTTCTTTTAGAATTACTGATATTTAAATCATTTATTATGAAGTGCTTTCTTGTACCTGTAATTTCTTCTTCCCCTAACAGGTTTGCCTGGTTCAATTGTGTCTGCGCCGTCGCACGTACGCCAAGGACATTGCTGACACTCCGACGGATCTTCTGGCAAGTTTTCTGCGCAGCTCTCGCTGTACGCAGGATATGGGGCATATTTCTTCGTACAATTAGGCTATACAATAAAATATCAACATTTTAAAATCAGGTTACTAAAATCAGAGTGACTGCGAGACCTCAATGCGGAACTCGAATAGCCAGATGCTACGTCTTCTCAGTGTTACTCTATGGATGTGAGAGCTGGACACTGGATTCACAGACCGAAAAGAGAATAGAAGCCTTCGAAATGTATGTATACAGACGGATGCTGCGAATCTCATGGGTACAAAATCTAAGGGTACAAAGGATCACCAACGATGAAGTACTCCAGCGCATGCAGATACAAAAAGAGATACTATGAACACCATCAAGGAAAGAAAAATGCAATACCTAGGTTATGTGATGAGACGTGGTAGATACGAAATACTGCGCCTCATAATAGAGGGCAAAGTGCAAGGGAACAGATCAGTGGGAAGACGCCAGAACTCATTGCTAAAAGATTTAAAGAGATGGTTTGAACGCTCGTCTGCGAAAATCTTCCGGGTTGCAGTTTCCAGAGCCACAATTGACATTTGAGTCGCCAACCTTCGGCAGGAGAGGGCGTGATAAGAAGAAGAAGAAGAACTAAAATTATTTATTGGACATCTATTAACTTATAAGAAAACAGACTACAATAAAGAATAAACATTTTACATGAGCATTTAATTAGGTATAGGGTGTCTCAAATTGATGTATTGTAGATTTTCTGGTAAGATTTTACCAAAAAGCTATTCTGTTGCTCTCTAACACATTCTTATGCCATTCATATGAATTTTTGGAATAAGTGCGATAAATCATTGATTTCGTTTGGAACCTTACAGGCTTTCAAAATCCTTAATAAAAAATTTAGGGCCATATTTAAAAAAAGAAAGGTCATGATGCCAGCTAAAGATCCTAATAAATGTGTACAGTCTAATCTGACTAATATGTTATACTTACGTCCAAATAATTCAGTTTGCAGTTTGAACCGGGAGACTGTTCGCAATCATCGAGTTTGTACCTGGGGCAATTTCTGGACAACTTGCAATTTTTAGGTTTGGTAAGTTTGACGCATTTGTTTAATTTATTATGACACTTGCCTTCGGAATTGTTTTCGGCGGGGGCTCTGCCATAGAAAGGGTTGCTCAACTAGAAAGTAAACGTGTTTTTAGTCAAAATGTAGATGTTTTGATTATGTTATACCACAGACTATTCATAACCAGCCTGCCGACTTATTATTCAGTATGTCCCCGGATTGAATAAAAAAATATATTATTGACATTTTGAGAAAAACAGGTTCTCCATTAAAAACATTTGCTCTTTCTAAAATGGTTAATCCCGTTTATGCTTTTCCAAATTTTCAGTTTGAGAGAAAAAAAAATTAAAATATGGTTGAATGAAAGCGCTAATACAAAAGGCGTTTCTATGGTAATATAAATTCAATTTTATAGATCAATATAATATTTCATATCAATTATTAAACTTTCAGTTACGTAAACGAAGGCGCGATTTTTAAAGTTATTGTTGCCAACCATGGACATAATTTGGATTGGTAATTTGTTTGACTAACTGGAATTTAAATTTCGCGCTGAAGATTCAGGTGGTAGCTCTGCTATAAAGAATATCAAGTTGCCACATTTATTTATTTATTTCCTGACATTGCCATTGGTTTTGACACTTTAGTTTTGTATTACGAGTTTTTGGTTTAAATAAATAATGTTGTGATAATTTAAGCTTAAAAATGTTAACTAGCAAACCTTGCAGTCGGACATTGTTCTTTTTACAACCACTTCTTACTTTTTACAACCACGGATATTAAGCTATTACGGCTATCGTACTAGCCGTAATAGCTTAATATCCGTAAAAAACTCATCGCAACTTTATTAGAATATTTTGAACAGGAAAGCGGTAGTAATACCTTTATGACCCTTTAGTGCTGTTAAGAAAGTGAGTTTTGTTGATGTAAATGATAATTCTTTATACAGGGTGTCTCAGATTTTAATCGGGAAAATTTAATAGACGATAGAACTTGCAAAAATAAAACAAAGAGTTCATATCAACTTGTAAGATTTAAAGCTTCCTTTTCGAGATACAGGGTACCATTAGAATACCAATTATAATATTAATTACCAATTAGAATTTAATTTTTTTCACAAGAAGTAAGCAAGATAGACAAAAAAGTCAGGAAACAAAAAAATAATATTTTTAATTACTAAATCCAAAAATAATATTAAACTTCTAAAAAAGCAGTGGCGTGCCTATTTTTTCCTTTAAAATAATTTAACAGTGATGACCCACCGCCGCACAGTGGAACGAGCTTATGGGAGCGGTTGGACATGAGGTTTTCTTCTCAGCACTTTTAATCCAAAAGACGAAAAAATGATTTTTATATACCGTAATAATGTATAAACAGAACAATTTTAAATTTTAATGAAAGAAAGTGGTTGGCTCATTACAAACCATCCACAGGGTGACCTAAAAATATAGTATGTTTTGGAAAAATCTTAGAATTTTTAAATGCTTATAAACTTTGCCAAACTGTCGTGGAATGTTTTAGTTTTAATCTTTTTAAAAAGAAATAGCGTTAGATTTTACCACTGAGATCTAGGACTACTGATACCATGTTATAAAAATATGGTAATTAAGGGCTTATATTTTCCTATTTAATATAATTTTGCTAATATCTTCGGTTTGAAAAAAGATATCAAGATGCGGTTTTCACTCTTTAAGCTTTCATTACTCTTTACTATTAGCTAAAATTATATATATTATCGCATTTTTTGAAAAAAACGCGCAATGTTTGTTAATTGTAAGACAGCGCCCCGTAGCGTCTACGTTCAAAAGCTTAGTATTATTTTTTATATGGTATAATATAGAGTAAGAAACGCTCTTTTAAGTGAGCCCCCGCTAGTTGGATTCCGTCCATCCAGTCCGGAGTTATTAATATTTAAATAAAAGTAGATCTAACTTTCCCCCACCACTTTATTTTGGCATAGAGTGACATGGCTAACAGAAAATATTCAGAATTTACTGAAGATTATGAAGCTATTATTTATACTACCCTTTATCTAGGCAAAATTGTGTAAAAACTCCATTTTCTTATTTTTTATAGCAGTTGTGCCCTCTAGTGGCCATTCTACAAACTTGAAAATAATTTCCAGCAATTTCTCATGGCCTCTTTAGTTATGAATATTTTTTTCCGCCGGCCTCACGGCTAATACTTTCCGAGATATAGCCGAAAGCTATTCTTAGTCGGACACCCTGTACAATTTATTATAAGCAAAGAATATAACAGTAAATCAACGCACTAGAATATTTTTATTACAAATAAAAAAGTTCAACACTGCACTTTAACCCGCTTTCTTTTTCCATAAGTTTTCTATATATTTGTAGCACCCTGTATCTGTTTTTGATTTAAGCGTCATTTTGTATTTATCCAATTAATAATTAAATATTAATAAATTTATAAAAAAATAAAGATAATTTGACTCTAAAAATTTTAAATTAATTTATTGGAATTGAAAACTTTTTTGATTTTGGTATAGCATGTATTAGTAATATATAAAATGAAAATGTTTAGAGGGGGGCAACCTGGGGTAAGATGTTAAATTAGTTTCGTTATTAGAAAGGCTTAATCTACCTTGTGACATATATAAAGTCTTGGCCAACTTTGGCCATTTTTTTATTTTTCTACATACACATTTTTTTGCTACTAAATATAGTATTTAGTAACAAAAAAATGTTTATGTGTCTCTTATATACAATTACTGTTCTCCCAAACTTTTGTGACTATATATATCTTTTATTTAAAAGTGAAAACAATCATTTGCACTAATATATATGGTTAAAAAAAAGTATTAATGTCTTTGCCACTTTTTATAAAACTAGGTTGTTTCACAAGAAATGAACACCATAATTAAGTCAGTGTAATATCTTCATTTGAAACTTTTCAAACAGACATATAATTAAAAATATTTTTTTGAGTTGGATAAAATATAACGGTCTGGACTTTAAGTAATTAAAATCTTCTACCAAAATTATTTAATTTAAAATTTTATTTTTAAGTCAATGTCCAACATTTTATATTGGGTCTTTCCACCGTGCGCCGCCCCTGGCCATTAAACTTAAATCTAACTACATCAAATTAAGTCCCATAGTAAGTATTATAAACTGGTCAAGTTATATCAAAATCGATTAAATAGTTTTTCAAATATCTTAATTTTTTTAAGTAACTTTAACACCCTGTATCTCGAAAAGGAAGCTTTAAATCTTACAAGTTGATATGAAGATTACAGTTGTGGGTTGGAACCTTTGGTGTTACACAGCAAAATAAAAACACTAAATCACCACAATACACCAAAACACTTTTTTTTTTCAAAAAGTTAACTAATTTAACTTTTCTAATATGTCTTGAAAACCTTTCTCTAAAAAACGCAACATTCACCGGTCAACGTATCCTCGAAAAAGAAAACATATTATAGCTTATATCGCCGAAAAGCTTAAAAAATTGCGCTTTTTATGAAGTCGTGGCCAACTATGGTTTCAATTTAAAAAAAAACATTGTATCATATGTCAAAAATAACAGGCTTTAGAGAAAAACGGAGGACACAATCTCATTAAGGATGTGATTATCTACAACTATTATCTGAAAACTTTTTGTCTAAAATAACTTATAATGGAATTAGGGACAATTTTTAAAATAGCCGAAATTTGTTTTTTTTTTAAATATCTAGTAAGCCATGAACTTTTTCAAAAATCTAAAAGGCGCATATTTATGACCCCACAAAACTGCAATTCTTTCCCCATTTAACCGACTCTCTATCTCCAGTAGTTTCCGAGATACCCATAGAGAACATCGTAGAAACTCACCCTGTATATAAACTTTTTAGGACTTTTTAGGAAAAAATCAAATATATTTTCATATTTTTATAATTTTCGAATTAATGAACGATTCAAGTCACTTTATTGTTTGTTATCTACTATAATCTGCCGAACAGGAGAATCCCTGACTGTAACGATAGAATCTGTCATTTTAATTTACAGGCAAATTGAAATTTGTAATTTTTTTATATCATCTGTCGAAATCTTCTCTAACTAGTTGGGCAGACTTTAGCAATAATTTAGGTAAAAACTATATAGTTTAATGAAACAGTATATTACAATTAAATATTATAGATAATTCTTACCGACGAATAATGCCTGTAGGAGGGGACAGAGATTTTCGATTTTAGTAATTTGTCTTCCGCCTTTTGCATGTCACTGTAAACAACGTTTACAGCGCCCTTCGTTTCTATTTTGGCTGGAAACGGACTGTTAGTGCCCCTAAAATAATAAAAGCCAAATAAAACACTAATTCACCACAATACACCCAAACACTTTTTTAAACACGCGTTCGGCTAACTATATTAGCATCTTCAGCAGATGATTAAAACTAAACTAACATCTACAAATTGAGAGTTTATATAGGCGCTTAGTTGGTACTGACCAAGCGTAACAAAACAAACTTTATTTGGCTCGCTTGACTATTGAAATGTCAAATGAGAAATTTAAAAAACGATGATAATTGAAGACTATGAGTCAGAAACTGGCTAAATTCCAAAAAGAAAATTGGGTTTTTATCTTTAAAATGTACTAACGAATGATATATCAATTAAGCTACGTGTAGGGATGGGATAACTCGAGCGAAAATTCGCGCCCTGCCTAGTGAGAACCACCAAAGTAACGTAGCATCTGACGTGGCACATACATGGCAATGATATAGCAATAAGGTTACAGTACAATGCTACCACGACAAATGACACGTTTCTGACAGCGCTACTTCAATGTGCGCTGACACGCTTATTGTCGTTTGTTCAATTCGATGCTTTGAATAAGATGACTAAGGAAGGAGCATATCAAAAATCTTAGGTGCACCGCGATGGGCCTCAAATATGGCCGACTTAAATTCCGGTTTATCAGTGCCGTTCTAATTTTATTTAAAAAATGTAAAACTATGATATAGGGTAGACGTGGGGTAGACTCGCTTTTTTATTTTACGTTGTGAATAAATGTTGGTAGCAGGGTTCGGAAAACTACATGTTACTTTTAAAAACTACATAAACAACATTACATGTAGTTAATGTAGTTTATGTAGAGAGTGTAGTTTATGTAACCTATGTATGTAACTTTCAAATATCAAAGGTTTGAGGTGAGGTTATAATAAGTTGAAGCATCTAAATTCTTTGACATCTAATCTTTGACAAGTAAATAAAAGCAAAAAATGGAAGAAAAAATATATAATTAGTTAGTTTAAGTGAATTTCATAAATGATCGGTTTACTACACGTATGTATATTATATAGTCACTTACTAGCGAAAAAGTTGTTCCATTATTTCACCTCGATTTTTTGCCGAGATCTACCGCAGGCTACACAACCAACTATTTTAGAGTCTTTTTCGATAAATCGTGATAGTGTCACTGTTAATTTAAGTTCTGCCACAATTTCCATCTAGATTTACTACCTTTATACAACTATCAGTAGTAGAATAAATAATAAATAACATAAAATAAGCTCCGTAAAGACTGACAAATCCACAAAATTTTAAATCAAATTCAAATGTGTCAAATGAATCGTCAAACAGAACTGTCAAGGATCCCCACTCTTGAGTCCTTTTTCCGCCCACCATGCATGAATACATGGATAACATTATGCTCCTTCCTTAATCTTCTTATTCAAAGATTCGATGTAACTTGCTATATGCATGTTACTTGCCAAATTACGCGCCACGTCAGATGCTACGTTACTTTGGTGGGCGGAATAAAAATCTAAATCACAAGTCATTTCGAAAAAGGCTTAAATTTTAAGTCTTAAGTCAGATTTCGAAAAATGATTTAAAATCAAATGATTTAAAAAAAAATTAAAAAGCCATTCAAATGATTTAAATGAAAAAAAGACTTAAGTCTATAAGCTAAGTTTTCTGTGAGCTTGCAGCTCTCTTTACAATTTTACAATGTTACAACTTTTACAATGCTGTACAATGCTTACAACCTCTTTACAATGCTTGTTAACCCATTTACGCCCTGTATTTTTAGTTTCAGTTGCGTTATGTTTGTAAAAAAATGTACAAATGTACAGATAAATTGCACACTGAATTAAAGAAAGAACTTGATACGGATTCGTTAAACTGTCACAAAATTGTCAGGTAAAAAGAATAAAGTTGTGCAATACTAGAAAAACTTACATGTCATCTGACCATTTCGCTTGTCTATAATCGAAGCGAAACAATGGCCCAGCGGCAGGCTGCAATTCGGAAAAAATGTGACTCTCTTCGGGATCTTCGAATTTGATTTCGGGCAAATGTTTCGGCTTTTCCGTCGTTTTGATTTTGTATCTGTAGCTGGGCCCGGTCCTGTGCTCGTAGTAATTGATGTTTGCGGCTTGTGAGCTGGCGTTAACAATGGCTTCGGATTTTGACGATATGTACTTGTTACACTTAAAATAACGGTTAAATAACAACGGGAAATCAATAAAAATGAATCTACTCACGGTTTGAATAACTTCACTGGTAATTTTGGATGTTCGCAGAGCCATTTTGGCTCGATGATGTCGAAAGATGGAAAATAAAACAACAACTGACTTTTCTTGTTTATTTGCTCGTCATGGTTATCATTGTTTCATGGCACTCTTACCAGCGTCATTATTACGTTGTCAACATGACACAGGATTAATTAATTTTATACTTCACTGTCAAATAATATTTTGCCCTTCAAAATGACAAGTAACTTTCAGATATTTTTAAAAAATATCATTCAAAGCCCGTCAAAATTTTAGGTCGCGAAATTGTTTTGGGTCGCCATCGTTATACGCAATCTGCCGCTGCTATAGCCGTTGCTAAGAACAGCCGCAAACAATAACGGAAATACTTTTCTCTTGTCAAAGTCAGAATCTTCAAAAATTATAAAATCTTTCAAAATTTAAACTGCCCTCATTGAAAAGATACCGAAAAGTATTTAAAGCGTCCGTTCTCAAAATAATTACCCAAGTAGCATTTTCACGACTTGCGACCACATGTTTACTAAACATAACGTTGGATTAGTTACAAAAAATAGTTAGCTCCTTACCTTGGGTATTAAAATAAATGTAAACGTTGTTATAACGTTGTGCCGACGTTGAACTAGTACTACAACAAAGTAAAAGCTTCTGCGACGTCGAATAAACGTTGTCTTGTAACCTTTTTTGCTTAAGTGATCTTTAGGTGATTCGGACAACGTAGTTACAATCGTTACAATGTTGGCCAATAAAGAGTTTTCCGACGTCACTTTCAGGACCTATTCCAACGTTGTGCAAACGTCGTCTGTTTTACTAATTCCAACGTTGTTTAGATTTCCTTATTCTTACGTTGGTAGGACGTCGAGCAACTACCTTTTTGCAACTGTATTCACTTCATTGTTCTGTTCAGTCAGACAGTTCAGTGCTGTTTTTGTTTTTATAAAAAAAAACTTAATTAAAATGGGACGTAAGAAAGGCACATATAAAACTAAACTTAAATATACTTTAATATTACCGATACTTTATCCACTCCCTCGTTTATTTAGAATATAGAGGGCGGCACAAGCTAGACTCTAGGATGACTAAATTAGGCAATCTTGCGACTAGTATACTGCCTGTTAAGGCTGAACTGCGATTTTATTAGTCCAGTATGCGACTACTCGAACTACTCCATCTTAATCTCCAAAACCACAAAGTGAAAGCCGCCATGTTGTTGAATAAGAAAATGTTTCGTTCCTAAAATAGCAATTCCTGCTTTTTGAATACATTAACTTGAGATATTTGACCCTAAACAACACGCGGCAACAATTTTTTTTCGACTGCGAATAAATTATTCTCATTTCACTAAAAAAAATTCAAGAAAATTTTTAAAACTTCTTTAATCTTAAGGCCCATTAGTATTTTTCAAAGTAGAAACAATACATTTATCAATAAAGTTGTTTGCGTTTAACTTTTTTGCCTTGGGTAACGAGTTACAGAGTTGGTTAAAGTGTTTCAATAATTATGATCTTGAAACATCCTCCACACTTAAATACTTTTGCTTTTGTTTTGTTTTCCTTTACTGCCATCAGGCATATGTCGCTAACTAAATCATAAAAATAATATTTTTACTATAATTATCCCAATTTAGGATAAAACGCGACTTAGAGGCCATATTATTATAGTTTTGTATTTCTGTGAATTAGGATTTTAAACAACGTTGCATTTTGTACTAAATTAGGCTGCTAGCTAACGTAGGTATCCAACGCCGTTTCGACCCAAAAATTATTCTCCAAACTAGTGCAGACTAGGGTTGGCACGAGGTTGTGCCCTAAGGTTGTGCCGACGCCGTTGCGCCCCGACGTTTGCTCGCGTGACAACGTTATCCCGACGTCCAAATGCTGCTTGGGTATTGCTATCTTGTGAGTTTAATTTAAATTTCATTTACTCAAACCCGTGATAATTGTGAGAAAGTGGCATTAAAAACTTAAAAAGCTGTGTTGTGAACTGCAAAAACCATCGTGGATTGTGGCATAACGTCGGTTTCCAACTTATAAAAAGGTTCCCAATGTTTCGTAGGTATTTCATACATATCCTTATATAAAATAAATTTTCTTGTATGCAACACACTGTATTTTATTTATAAAATTAAAAGAAAATAATAACCAATTTGAATAAATAATATTTGGCAATATAATTCCGGAAAAAGCCGAACCGATCCGAAATTATTAAAAGCTTTGGGTCGCGACCGTTGCAAGAATAGCGCCAAATACTATTTATATCTATACATTGTCATTATGGGCACTTTCCAATCTAAACTTGTTTCATTTATCTATGAATAATATATTTTCATAAGCAGTGAGTACAAGTTTTGTATGATTAATGATCTGTTTAAATCGATACAAAGATCGATAGTAGTAGAAGTCGATTTAGTATTTAGAATTACAGTCTTAACTCGTTTTAGTGTGTGCTGTGCCTCAAAAGGAAAAAAACGAATTTTACCAAAAGCGGCGATTATGGAGGGCTTAAGACTCCATAGCGGCGATATTACTCAGGGTAATATCGTAGAGTTAAGAAGCCCTGAACATATTTACACTTATCCAAGACGTGAGCCAGGGCTGGTATCTCGACAAAAGAAATATATTTTCTCTTTACCGTTTTTCAAATGAGTCCAAAATAACCGTTCAAGTTTGAAAATTTAAATAGAAAGATTTATTTAAAAAAAAAATTGTGAGTCACCTGCTTTTCTCTGTATTTGCATCCATTCTTTTAGTGTCGTAACCATAGAATAAAGCCTTAAGCATGGTAGATTAAAAAATTATACCGTGGGTAAATTTGCGGTGAACAGGCAGTTCTACAAAGTTTTCTAAAATATAAAGGAAATTTTTTAAAAAATGCACGATTTTCAAGGGGGGAGAGTTTTTGATAACTGTCTGCCGCTGTTTTAGCCACGATCTTTTTGTCTGCCCTTTTGCATACGGCTTTTAAATTGAATAAATATATGACATTTCACAAATCGTCATGCATATGAGCCATATTTTTTTCCAAAATTTTATGCCTCTTTCGCGTTGTCTGTCGGCATTTTAGCGACAAGGAAAATGTCTGCTAACAATGTTTCACGTTCCTTAATAAATAAAAGCTATTTTCGCAATTATAACTCGTGTACCTGATAATATTTTTAGTGTCAAAATTTTACCCTTTCGATTGGCCGCCCCCGCTTTAAGACATGACTATTTCATAATGGCTACACATAAGGAGATTTCGCAAGAAAAATTAACCATTTAACGATAATAAGGTTTTTTATGTAGCCAGCTCTTAGACTATAACGGGACTGCATGAAATACTTTAGTCGGACACTTCTAACGTCTGCGGCATCGAGCGCTGCGGTCGGAACTTTTAAAATCAACTGAAATGCACCAAGCCGATAGTATTTTAATTCAAAGGTATGAATAGAGAGTATGAATGCCTCATAGGATATATGGATATTTTCTGCAAAATATTTCTACACTTTAGGAAAAAAAAACAATTATTTTTTTATTATATTTATTTTACACAAATTAATCACAACATCACAATACAATAACGATATTACAAAATAAAACCTAAAGCTATCTATCTATATCATCAGTATAAGTACCTAAAAATACTTTTTATGTCAATTTTCTTTTACACAGACAAAAATAGAAAACACTATTGTACACTAGAATCGATAAAATAATCAAAAAATGTCTTTTGGGGCCTTTACACTTTCGGCTATGAGTCAAGCAACTTTGATGCGTGCAAAAAAAATATTTTTTCTGATACGTACGCAGCCTACCCTATATCAAAAAATTAATAACAATAATATAGTTGAAAAGGCCGCTATTTTTACATGTCGTGTTAATACTAAATAAAAAATATAAACAATAAGTAACAAAAACAACATTTAGAGTGGATAAAAGAAAGAATATAAAAAAAATTATACCTTCTAACATAATCACGTTTTTACTTTTAAATATCATAGTTGAGTAGGTAATATTTTTAAAAAGAGTATTGTATTAATTTTGTAAAAATAATCATTTAGATTATTTTTTTTTAATTTGGCTATAAATTTAGTATCATATTAATATCATATCTGCCTACTAAATAGATGTCCAAATATTTACTTAATATTACAGGTTCTTCAACAAATTAAAATAAGCTAATTCCACATAATATGGAAAAATACAATATGATCGAAAAAAAAAGGCATCAGCGATGGCTCTGAAATGAAGATCGCTGTCATTTTATGTAAAATTATATGGGAAATGTCATCGATCGTCATTTCCAAGTCAACTCGACGCCGTTTTTTTGTCGATCATAGGTTACAATATATTACAGAAAATCCAGTTTAACAGTCAATTAAAATGATAAACATAACTTTCACTGTCAACTCAACAAATTTATTTCGTAAATGACTATTTTATAACAAAGCAATAAGGGCTGGAAAACATTGGTATAAACAAATAAACTAAGAAAGAAATTTTAAGAATCCACTCCATATATAGTACCGTATGATCGAAAAAAACGGCGTCCAATTGGCTTGGAAATGACGATCAATGACATTTCCCATATAATTTTACATAAAAAATGACAGCGATCTTCATTTCATAGCCATCGCTGACGCCGTTTTTATTCGATCATACGGTACTAATAGTTAAGAAAATATTTTAAACAAAATATACGTCTAATATCACACAAAATGATCCTAAAATAACCCTAGAATTGGAAGAAAATCTACTGGAAATATTATTTGAGTCTGGAAGAAAATGAATTTAAAATATAAATTATGACCCTTCATAATTTATATTTTAAATTATATAATTATAATAATTTAATATGCAAATTAATGTAATGAATATTTTTTAAAGATGTACTTTTAAATAATCTAATTCTATATCACTGTAAGTACCATACGATCGAAATAACGAGTGGGAAATGAAAATTGATGATAATTTTGGCGAAGTCAAACCCTAGACGCCAATTAATTTTTGTTTATATTGAGTAAAAAATTATTTTTAAATTATTTATAAATAGTTAAAAATTCAAGAATAAATATTTTTTTTTAATAAATTTGTATGTCTGGAGAGTTCTATCCCTTTTTGATCTCTCTATAAAAGAGTTACTTTTTGACAACTTTTATCTCAATTTTTAATAAACGACGTCTAGAAATTGACCTCGCGCCAAAATTATCATCGATTGTCATTCCCAGCCGTCTTTGACGCCGTTTTTTTTTTTGGATCATACGGTACTTTAATGTTTTTGTAAAATGTGTTTTAGGCCATATTAACAAAAATAATTATTATGAGTTATTTAATTCATAGGTACAATCGATACCAAATAAACTTTTAGTTACGCCATCGAGGGTGCGATTATTGAATTCATTGTTGCCAACCATGGACATATTCGGTGCCGGGCTAACTAACTAGAATTTAAATTTTCCTCTGGCAATTCAGGTGGTAGCTCTGCTATAAAAATATCAAGTTGCCACATTTCTTTATTTATTTCCTGGCATTGTGAATCGTTTTGTATTACGAGTTTTTGATTAAAGTGAAATGTATTGTAATACTTGCTTAATTTTGTTTAATACAAAGACCTTGCAATTGAAAATTGTTCTTTATACACACTTTATCACAACCGAATCGAACCACTTGTAGTGCGAAGTGCTCAAGATGTCGAAGCATGTTTGCAACAGCCGTTGCAAAAAACTTATCGCAAACTTATTAGAATATTTTGATCGGGAAAGCGGTAGTAATGACCTTTTAGGTACTATTAAGGAGGTAAGTTTTGTTGATGTAAATAATAACTGTTTATATATTTATAATTAATTCAATTTTGTTTCCTAAAATATTTTGATTAAACCAAACCAATCATCACGTGACTAAAAGTTTATCTGATATGTTCTATATATTTCTAATCTTCCCAGTTGATTCCTTCAGAAATAAAACTACAGTAAACTCAAGTAATTACGCTTGACTGTTTCTTATAATATCAGGGCTGGAATTTCTCTGATAATGCTTCAAACTTTTCAGGCTTTTCAGCTCCTTTGTCCCGCTAAACGTAAAATTAACGTCTGGACTACACAGAGGGTGAATTTGTGGCATCTTGGGACTCGATGGTGTGCCCACACCACTGTCTAAAATTTTAAAACAAATATTTCAAAGTAAGTAAGTATTCAGAACATCAAAATTATTGCAATAAATTGTTGGTTCAATTAGGATAGAAGTTTGGTCCTCTAATTTCAATTTAAGCAAATTTAAGCATTCAGGCAACAACTTTTTTTCTAACCACAATTTCTTTTGACCGATTGTAATCAAAATGCCAAATTTTAAGTATAATTAGTGCAAAAAGTTAAAGTTTGTTAAAGCTTCATTCAGAACCTCGAAATCAGTGGAACAAATTAGTAGTTTCAATTAGTCGTAGAAGTTTGTTCACCTGATTTTAATGTTACCATTCAGAACGTCATAATTAGTAGGCATAGATAAATGAAACAAGTTTAGATTGGAAAGTGCCCATAAGGACAATGTAAACACTATTTGGCGCTATTCTTGCAACGGTCGCGACCCAAAACTTTTGAAAATTTCGGAGCGGTTCGGCTTTTTCCGGAATTATATCACCAAATATTGTTTATTCAAATTTATTATTATTTTCGTTTAATTTTATAAATAAAATACAGTGTGTTGCATACAAGAAACTTTATTTTATATAAGGACGCATGTATGAAATACCTATGAAACATTGGAAACCGACGTTATGCCACGATCCACGATGGTTTTTGCAGTTCACAGTTCTCAGCACAGCTTTTTAAGTTTTTAATGCCACTTTTTCACAATTATCACCGGTTGGAGTAAATAAAACTTGAATTAAACTCACAAGATAGCAATAATTACTTTGAAAATGGACGCTATAAACACTTTTCGGAATTTCTTTAATGAGAGCGGTTTAGATTTTGAAAGATTATTATGATTTTTGAAGATTCTGACTTTGACAAGAGAAAATTATTTCTGTTTTTGTTTGCCGTTGTTTTTAGCGACCGCTATAGCAGCGCCAGATCGCGTATAACGGTCGCGACCCAAAATAATTTCGCGATCCAAAATTTTTACGGGCTTTCCAAACCAAACTTGTTGCATTTATCTATGTTAGTAGGTAGTAGTAATTTTCAATTAGTGGAAAAAGTTAACAAACTTTTGACTTTTTCATTAATTATACTTCAAAATTTGCGAGGAATGTCATTTTGGCCTTTGATTATCACCCGTCAAGAAAAATTTTGGTTAGAAATCAAAAGTTTATTGTTTTACAAGCTAAATATTATGCCTTCTCTATGGATAAAACAGACTACCGCAAGCTGTTGCTAGGATATTTTATTAATTTTAATTGTTCTGTCCAATTCCATACAAGTTAGAAGGGGGATGTGACAGGGTTGCGTGCTGTCTCCACTCCTATTTAATTTATACTCAGAAGCTATTTTCCAAGAGGCTCTGGAAGACGTGGAAATGGGGGTCAAAGTTAATGGAGTGTGGATTAATAATATCCGCTATGCCGACGATACAGTCTTAATTGCAGACAATATACACGACCTACAACAACTGGTCAACAAGGTAGGAGAACAGAGCAAAGCAATGGGTTTAAACATCAACATCAAGAAAACCAAATTTATGATTATATCCAGAAACCCAGATGTGTTTATAAACTCCATCCTAACATTTAACTCAAGGCCCATAGAAAGAGTAGATAAATTTAAGTACTTGGGCATCTGGCTCTCCGAAGAGTGGACATCAGACAAGAAAATTAAATGTCGCATCGAACAAGCTCGGCAGGCATTCTTGAGGTTTCGAAAAGTACTTGTCTGTTCTGATTTTGACCTTAGCCTTAGATTAAGATTCGTAAAGTGTTATGTGTGGTCGGTGCTCCTTTATGGTATAGAAGGTTGGACATTGAAAGCAGCTACCATCAACAAATTGGAGGCTTTTGAGATGTGGCTATATCGCAAAATCCTGAAGATACCTTGGACGGCTAGATTGACAAATGAGGAAGTTCTAAGACGTGTTGACAAAGAGTGTGAAATATTTGAATTGATTAAAAAGAAAAAGACCGCATACCTGGGGCACAGAATGCGAAACCCCAAATATCAATTCTTGCATTTGTTGATAGAAGGCAAGATCGAAGGCCGGAGGGGTATCGGAAGGAAGAAAATGTCTTGGCTGCGGAATATTAGACAGTGGATAGGGCTACTCGATGTTCAGTCGTTAATACACACCGCCCGGAACAGAGAAGCAATGGGAAATGTTATCGCAAACATCCATTAATGGATCTGCACTAGAAGAAGAAGAATTGTTTTTTAGACATTGCGAATGATCGTAAACTGAAAAGTATAAAGTGTAATTGAAACGACTAATTTATTCCACTAATTTGGAGGTTCATAAGCGAATGAAGCTTAACTTTTTCTACTAATTGAAAATTACTATCACTAATTTTGACGTTTTGAATGCTTACTTTGAAATTAGAGGAACAAACTTTTGCGCTAATTCTCGGTGAAGCTTTACTCTAAAATTATTTATGTTAAAGTGTAACTCACCTATTGAATGAGTAGGTGAAACCTTCTCTTTATTATCTAGTATTTCTACAGGTTGGGTTTCAGAATCTCTTCTACCATTTTCAAATTCCTGAATCTTGATATCTATCCTGTTGTTAGTTAGACTAGTTTGACTGTGATTTATCCTGAAAAAATAGAAACGTATAATGATTTAGAATTAGAATAGTAAATCTCTTACTTTTGTTGTTCCAAAATATTACTGTGAGAACTAGAAAAGAAGCTGGATTTCCTCTCCATGGATCCACTAGGGGATGTCTGAGTTTGTTTCTTCAATTGGGGTGTTAAGATGTTCTGTGCGTTTGTATTCAAACTGTTGGATCGAGGCACTTGGTCCAGATTTGTGGGTAAAGCTATCTTTCCTGTAAAGAAAAAAAATCTGATAAAAATCCACGTGTTTAAACATTGTCTAAACAACTAAAACTAGTGTAAACATTAGCTGTAGAGTTGTATATAGGTATAGATTTCGATAATACAATTTTTTGCTAAGAACAAAGGAAAAATACCTGTGCTCAAAGATTTGACCATCAAACGTTCTGGAGGCATCATTCTATTCTCCTTTTCTTGCAACATCTTAATCAGATTAGTTTGGCCAGCACCTTCGTTTCTAATCTTCTCAGATAACGATATTTGTGACATAATTCTCCTCACTTCATCTGGTATTTCCACATTAACCTAACAAAAACTATATATCAACAAACAACTACAAAAAAAAGTAATTCACCTACCTTGTCTTCAATCAAATTACTTATAAAATTAGCCAGAGTGGCTACAGTAACATCCAGACCTCTACTCTGCATCTCAATTCGATTCAGTTGAGCCTGTTGCAGCACTCTAGTTTTTTCCAGTCTTTGTACGTTCGATAAAGCCAATTCCAATTGTGCCATTAAAGTCTTATTTTGTTCTGCTAAGATTTTATTTTCAGCTTCGAGCTTATGCAAAGCTTCTACTTGCGGTTGAACCGAAGACATTTCTTCTTGAAGGACGAAATATTCTACTTTGTATTCTTCAAGCTGTCTACTAATATCCGTAGTATATACCTAAAAAGTTTTAAGCAATTTGTAGCTATTTTATTTGACTTTTTGGTTTCCATCTGTCAATTATACGAGGAAAAATAAAATGTTGATATATTGGTGAAAGTTTGAAACACTGTGTGAAATATGTTAAGAAAGCGAAAAATTTAGCAAGGAATAATTTTATCATTTAGATACATACATCCTTTCTCGGTAGAGGGTTTTTTGTTTCATACCAATAGCTTTATTGTTGGAGATACTGGCTTTTGATGAAGACACTATCATTTTTTAGCCATTTTTACATTAAAACCGTGCCTTTGCCTTTTGGTCCTAGTCATCAGATCTAGTAAGTTGTGATCTCGAAGCAGGCCTTCTTGACGTAAAATTTGCTTCTTTAAATCTTCTTCTTACCATTTCACTTACATGTACGTTCCTTAGGCGCAATTCATTACAAATTTAAAAAGCTGGCAAACGGCTGTTTCTTAGCGGTAAACTTACAATAAATCGATCGTCTCGATTCGAAGTTCTCATACGAAGGTTCCTGGACGTCTAGCATATGAACTTGTACAGAGGAAGCGACTGTACAGGGTGAGTCAACGATAGAGTAAAGTCCATTATCTCATTTGTTTCGAGGTTTACAAAAAAATGTTAAATACAAAAGTTATAGGGAAGGTTAAGATACACATTTTAAAATTATTATAGAGTATACAGAGTGCTTCAAAAAAGTGTGGCGGATATATGATTTTATTAAATGCAACACTCTATTTTTTATTTTATTTTTAGATTCTGCGTAAAATTCTATAACTTTTTTATATATAATGTTATATACCTAAAATTAATAGTTTTTGTAATATTTAAATTTATTTATACAAAGGTTAAATTGCAGTGTGGTAAAAAATTGTCAGTTGTAACATTGTTTCTGAAGTTGGAATACCAAAATTTGGTATGAGAGTTCTATAGAGATTAAAAAGAAGATATATGTTAAGATATTTTAGTTAAATGCTACAGGGTGTTCAAAATATATTTATGAATTTCAACTACTTAAAATTAAAAAATTTCAAATTTTTTAAATAGTACACCCTATATATTTTCATTTTTTCTGATATATTTTGCAAAGCTCTTCAACCTTTATAAGTATGTCATATACCTATTTTTAATAGTTTGCGATTTATTCCAATTTTTTCTATTTTTACACTAATTTTTAATACAATTACGCTATAACATCATAGTTACCGTGACAAAACAAACATATTTATTACTTATTTTTAGCAAGTAGTTTAATAATTAGTTACAATTGTTATTATTAGTCAAAATTAACTAACTTTACTCAAATAAACTAAAATCGTAGTCGTGAATTTCTTGGTGTATTTCTATATTATGAAAGATGACATTTGGATTTTCCGTCGGGCCGAATAGCCACAGATTAGGGTAATACTAACTAGATTACCTAATTGTTGACGACTACTGATATTGAAATTTTCTCCGACATACAGTAAAGTTTTTTTTCTCGTAGTAATTCTGCAGTGGGATTCTGTAAGCTCCGAAGCAAGAAATTTCCTGTCTAGCCTATGCTATTTGTATACGATTATTTGTATACGATATTAAATCAAATTCAAATGTGTCAAATGAATCGTCAAACAGAACTGTCAAGGATCCCCACCCTAGAGAGCTTTTATGGTGCCTTTTCCGCCCACCATGCATGAATACATGGATAGCATTATGCTCCTTCCTTAGTCTTTTTATTCAAAGATCAGAACAAATCAAAATATATAGGGTGTACCATTTAAAAAATGTTAGATTTTTTAATTTTAAGTAGTTGAAATTTATAAATATATTTGCTAACCTAACCTAACCTAACACTCTGTAGCATTTAACTAAAATATTTTAACATATATCTTCTTTTTAATCTCTATAGAACTCTCATACCAAATTTTGGTATTCCAGCTTCAGAAACAATGGTACCACTATACAATTTTTTACCACACTGCAATTTAACATTTGTATAAACAAATTTAAATATTAAAAAAAACTATTAATTTTAGGTATATAAAGTTATATATAAAAAAAGTTATAGAATTTTACGCAGAATCTAAAAATGAAATAAAAAATAGGGTGTTGGGCCTTTAAAGAAACATATGTTATATCCGCCACACTTTTTTGAAGCACCCTGTTTACTCTATAATAATTTTAAAATGTGTATCTTAACCTTCCCTATAATTTTTGTATTTAACATTTTTTTGTAAACCTCGAAACAAATGAGATAATGGACTTTACTCTATCGTTGACTCACCCTGTACTGTATTTCGTGCACACTCAAATCTGTTAGCGATATAATGTTGATCTCTTATCATCTTCAATTCAAAGCAACTATAGCCGATACAACTTCTAGACTTAAAACCATCTCTGCTCGAGTAACTCCCAAAAGCCAACAGACAATAACAATATGAATTTTCAATAACATTAACATTACATACATCATAAACACTATTTCATAGGTGTGTTGAATTGGACCAAATCAAAGGCAAAGTCAAAGGCATGGTTTAAATGTAAAAAATACGAAAAAATATTAGTGTCTTCTTCAAAAGCGAATATCTCCAAAAAATTAGAGCTATTGAGACGAACCAAAAAATAACCTATGGAGAAAAGACGCAGCTAGATAATAAAGTTATTTTCACATTTCTTGCGTTTTTAATATATTAAACACAAAAAAAGAACACAGGGTGTTCCAAACTTTCACCAAAATAACAACATTTTGTGTTCCCTCGTATAATTGACAGAAAGGAAACTTTCATTTTTTATTTAGAAAGAGAGAGTAAAAAGTCAAATAATTTAACTACAAATTGCTTAAAAGATCATCAAAATTGGCCCACTAGAACACCATATATAAAACGTTTTAAGGTTTTTCGTGCCGTTGAGTGTAGAATTTGAGTAAATATATTTTACCTGCTTCATGACTTTGTCTAATGTAGGTTTGTCTATTGAAGCTAAAGGTCCCTTGATATAGTTCATAATTTCCTCAAAACTGTCACAAAGCAAGATCTTGTCTTTGTGAAAACCAAGCAAAGACAAAGCGACTCTGAATATGACATTGGGGCCCTCCAAAAACACTAGATCTATAACAAAAATCAAATTGAGTTGAGATTTATGGTAATACAACGAAAAATCTGCCATAATACACCAAAATATTTCTTTAAATAACCTCATCAATTGGGTGTGGTATATTGTGATAGATTTGTGTATTTTTTAATTTTATTTTCTTACCAAAAACCCTAGTAACAAACCCTAAAGGAAACTGTGAAGCAAACATAGTTAAAACCCATGGTGCTGCATACAAGGTTGGAGCTACTTCGTACAGATCAAAATGGTTATAGAGGTCTGGAATTTGATCATGGAGCAATCTAGAAAGCTGATAGAGCTTTATTTGAAGTCCCATCATGTCTGGAAGATACTGAACTCTTAATGCACGTCTGAACATTAAGTGACGTAACAAGGTAAAGGCTTGAGACTCCTCCATCTACAATAGTCACAAAAAATGATATTAAAAATCTAAAAAGTCTAAACAGATCTAAAGTATCTCAGAGAAATAAGTAAACAAAAAAGTTGTTTAAAGTATACTACACCATTGGAGTTTACTAATTTAGCCGTATGATCGAATAAAAACGACGTCAAAGGCGGCTGGAGAATGACAATCGCTGATAATTTTGGCGAGGTCTATCTCTAGACGTTATTGATTAGAAAGTGTGACATAATACTTGTCAAAAACTAACACTAATTATAAAAATATTTCTCAGTCGTCTTTGACACCGTTTTCGATCAAGTGGTACTTAGCGAGATGGAAACAAAAACATTACATTTGTATAACAAATAACTAAGAAATCCTTTATGTTTAGATATTTCTGTGATAAAAATATAGAATAGAAACTTACATGAAGCAGAAGCACTCCTGCTACAAAGCTCAGTCCTTGACAATATCCAACTTCTGGATCTAACAAAGAGTAAGCCTTCAGTAGATTGAATAGAGCTAACTGACCAGGACCTAGTGGACTACTAAAGTAGGAATGGTTAGGAAAAGTCCTTCCCAAATCAATAAGAATGGCGTGTTGATGCGAAGTGAGTTGTTTCAACAGTTGATCGTAGGGGACGTTGTAGTTTGGATACTTTTGAGGATCCGGAGGTGCCGATTTGAGACAGTGTTGTTCGGCAAGGAATTGCCACACTTCTCCACGTTTTCCTCTAGGAACGCCTGGAGATATACAAAAATAATTTATTTAATGCTCAATTCCAAAAAAAACTACGAAAACGATTTCATATTTTTAATAAAATTTAGTAGTGAAAAATACTGTATAAATATGAATCATTCAACTTGTCAGATAGCTCAAGTCGTTTTCTGTGACATAAGTAATATTGAATGACATAGAAACTAGAAAAAAACAGCCTTGGTTAATTTGGGGACAATAATGATAGATATCTTTCAGGAACTCTTAACACATTTTAACAAGTAATTAAACTATTTAAATTGTCAAGCCTATTGTGTGGTTATAACCTTTATAACTATATCTCCTATAACTATAACTGTTCTATACAGGTTGCTAATTTGTTTATTACTAGCGGCAAGAGCTTTATGGTTGAAATATGGCAACCTCGGCCCGCTCATCGAGAGACGACGCGACGTTAAGTAATATTTCTTTAGTAGTTAAGTAATATTTCTTCTACAAATCGGCAACTTAGCTTAGTACTCATTTGGAATGTAGACAGTGTTGCCATTCTGTTCCCCAATAAGTAACCGTACAGTTAACAATCTGTGTATTACTGTAACTATTCTACAACTCCTTAAAACTATATCTCCACACAGACTCCTATCCCTGTACCCAACTTGTGCAGGTACTCCATAAGTAACCATCAATTTGTATTCATTAACCAGGTAACCATCAATTCGAAGTTGGTCAAAGAATGCCTAGAGAAGCTGAACGAATTAGGGAAAGAAAATAAAGACCTCCCACTCTGAGTTCTAGTCCACCAAGGGATAGAAGGTAACGAAAAAGCAAACGATCTAGCTAGAAAAGGAGCGAACACTCCGCTAGCTGAACCAGAACCGTTCTGCTTTCGAAGTAGAAATACCAACATAAATCGGAACTCAAGACCCTGAAAAACTTTGTCCTTAACCGGAAATGGAAATACAGAGTTTTTAACAGGACACTGACTCCTCAACGAACACCTCAGTAGATTGAAACTAAAAAATAACGGCGAATGTAGATTCTGTGGGCAAAATGGGGAAACACCAGAGCACCTCATCACTGAGTGCGCCGAAATGACAAACATTCCTGTTATAAACTTTGGTCCGACTGATATCCGAGATGGAGAAATATCTCTGTCAAACCGTCTCAGATATTGGCTTTTGTCGAAGCCCTGATGAAAAATGGACATAATAGATCTATAAGGTCAGTGATTAACTTCACTCAACTTGTGCAGGTTCTCGATATGATGGGTGTAGAGAATTTTTAATTGTCATGTTATAAACTAATTTAAAGTCTGTCTAATAAGTGAAATAACAATTTTGGCAAACCACATCCAAAATATGACAGAAATACAATGTACTTTTAAATTAAAATTGCTAACTATCATTATCCGTGGACACACTAATAAACAAGGATAAAATAAAAGAAAAACATTTTTTTAAATAAGGAGACAAAATAAAGACTAACAAAAAAAACAGTCAATTACTAAATTACCTTGTCTTATAGCTTGCAGAAGCATAGGTTTGTCGCACTTCATATGAGCTTCTTTATTGGTTATCATGTCCCACACTTCCATGACTTCCCTTTGAGTAGGTTTCATTTCATCATACTCTAGTTTAATCCTTTTAACTGCTGACTCTTCTTGTTTAGCTAAAATAATAATAGAGTATAAGATGAATCTTTTGGTATTTTAAGAAACAAGAAGACTCCTATATTATATAATAATATAATATATATAAAATAATATAATTTATTCTGGAAAAAAGATACTTTGGTGTATTGATTTCTATAATTTTGTAGTTAAAATTATAAAAATATTATTCAGAATTAGTAGTTAACAGCTTATAGAGAACTCACCTTTTATTCTATCATTTTCTTTTTCCATTCTTACTAACAAAATCGCTTGTTTGATCGCCTTCTTCCATAATTCTCTCAATTCCTCTTTGGTTTTCTTTTTTGTCGGTTGTACTTCGGTTTGTTCATTTTTCACCGTTATCACTCTCTTGAAGATGGCTTGTCTCCATGATCCACCGTCAGTTTTACTACCAGAATCGTCTTCTGGGTTCGTTATTTTGGGACTATTTCCAACTTTAAGAAATCTAGAAATAGGATTGCTCGTATTATCGATCAAACATTGTCTACTAGAAATAACTTAGCATTAAGTAATAATTCTTCTAGTAGAATATAAATTTTTATTAGATTTGCAATAAATTAAACTATTTAAATGTAAATAAAAGTTTTCCTGTTTTATAAACATTTATTTTACTTACATATCTAGCATAGGAGATTTTAGGGTTTTATCTGATCCAGCCAAACTCCTATCTGGTGAAACTGAGCTTTGTTTGGTATTTTTGACGTGTAAATACTGGTCTTTACCTTCTGACTGGGACTCTATAGTTGATGATCTTGAACGAAAACTTTCAGAATCTTTATCGGAAGCAGAAGATTCGCTGATTGGTGCAGCTGCAGAAGCAATAGAGGAAGATTCCTACAAGTGAAATTAACAATAAAATAAATAAAAAAAGAAAATGTGTAATATAATATAAATAAAAATGATAATAAAAAAGAATATTAAAAAATAAGAGATAAAGTTTCAAAAAATAGTTATTAAATATACCTTATTTAAATTGTTCGTGATTGGCAGGCTCATATTTTTCATATTCGGCCCAAAATCGTTACTGGAAGCTTTTCTTTTCAAAAACTGGTCGAATGAATTGGTGAGGGATTTTTTGGCTTTCGTGAAAACACTGGTTCCGCCAATTCCCAAATATTGATTAAGAAATTCTGATCTAGAATAAAAAAATACTTTTAAAATTAGCACACCAAAAAAAGGCACATCAAGTTTAATTTTTCTAATTTTCATATTTTTCTCAAAAGTGGCTGCTATAACTTTTTTATTTTCTCAGATAAAAAAACGAAATTTGGTATTGATTGACGACGTATTCAATTGTTTTCTGTCAGCTCCTGTTTTATCGGAAATGACTACAACTTTTGATTTTTAAATAGTACCCTCGGTATATCTCTACTTTATTCTATAGAAAATGACACTCTGAATAGAATGGCATATCATATGTCAACTTTTATCATTTTCAAATATGGTTTATTTGAAATTGTAACATGCGATTCATAAGGATAATTTGACTCGAAATACCAAGTGTGGAGTACCAAATTATTCGCAAAAAAAATGCTTTTTCCAAATATGCTAATGAGCCACCCTCGTTCCATTTGAAAAAATTGAGATATGATTAAAAATACGATTTGGGCGTTTCTTAACCGACCTGGACAAGACACGAATAACATTAGACGATCAAATGTATTTTTCCAAGACTCCTTCATTAAAAATTAGTGTTTTTAACACTCCCATGGTGTAATATTATCTGATATTATTAGAAAGTGCCCCTCCCTAATAGCTAGAAGGTCAATGGGGGACAGTTGAGAAAAACGCGAGATTCCTACGCATCCTAATTGTTAAACTCATGTATTATTTTATATTTAAATAATAAACATATATGATTAAACAATAGTAGTTTAAGTCATACTACATGGCTGAAACAGGAAGTGACCAAAAACAATTGAATACGTCAATCAATCCTAATTTATATCATATACTAACATACCAAATCTCGTTTTTTTATCTGAAAAAATAAAAAAGTTATAGGGGTGAGCCACTTTTGAGACGCACCCGGTATATAAGGTGTTATATTTAAATTAAACAAGTTATTGCCGTTTAAAGCTAGTAATTATTTAGTATAAATTTTTGGACACCATGTTTAAGGTAGTATAATTTTTATTATTGCAACACAATATCTGATCAATAAATAATCTTAAGTAAATCATCATATTTTTTACTTATTTAGGACACTTTTTTTAAAGTGTAGCTCTGATAGTCCTTCAACGAAACCAAAAATTACAATTTGTAAAAATCTAATCGTTTAACTACAATACTCCGTGCCGTATGTGGTGATCAACCCTGTAGATCAAATGCCAACAATGATGTGATCACTTCGATGTGTCGTTTGTAAATAGAAATATAGATGTTTTACTCTTCTTTTAAAAGCTTTAAACCTCCCAAATACAGTAATGGAATACACTTACCCTTGATTTTATTCATATTATTGGACAACAACCTCGTAAGCTTTATTGTTTCGAAGATTAAAATAATCGCCTTCAAATTTAAGAACACCTTTTATAGATAATGCAGTTCAGTGGTTCTTTTCACAGACAGCCAAGCAGCGCTAAAGTACTACTTTCCTCGGAGGTCAATTCTAGACTAGTGTGAGGTTAGATTTGCCTGAGTACCAGTGCACGAGAGTTATAACGATAACGAAAAGGCAGATAAAATGGCCAAACAAGGCTCATCAATGCCATTCATAAACCCTTCTGAAGCGCTGCAAAAGCTGTCACAAGAATGGACACAAAACGGAAGGTGGCTAATAAATCTCTAGAATGCGGTAGACATTCATCAGGACAGCGGCAGGCGAAACAGTTCATAGTGGATTGGACAAATCCAATTGTTCAAAAGATCATAGTAGAATATTTGCAAAAATTTATCACAGACCTAATAAGCAAAGACACAATATACTATTTAAGCTGTTGTAGTGGATCTACTAATAGGGCATTGAAAGCTTAATAAACATCTAAAGGCATGTAAAACAGATTAGAGCCTGATCTGAAGAAGAAACGAAAGAGCACATTTTATGTCAGTGTGATAGTCTGGCATATGTAGGATTCTTTCTAAGGGAGAGCGCCCACCAAACTGACGTAGCATATGATGTTGCACATGCATGGCAATGATATTGCAAGAGCGTTGCATGATTTTTCAAGAAGCGCACATATAAGTGATATGGCAGTGGCGTAAACATGTCGTCCTCAGAGGATGAAGATTTGTTAACAGTTGTAAACCTAATCAATATGAAGCAAAATTATCCAAAGAGTCGCTATTGGATACACCCCTTTTAGAAAAAGAGATAAAGGAATAGTGGATTTAGCGTTTTTTAGGTATTCAATATGGGGCATCCAGAAAGATTTCAAGCATTTTTTTGATTTGATTTTGATTTCAAGAATCATCAAAGAAACCTTTAATGCGCTAGTTAGAAAAGCCTCAATCGGTGATACAAAACGTATATTGAAGTCCAAATTGTCCTTTTTACAAATTTTTACCAAATTCGAGTAACGTGTTAATAGCACGTGGCGAAAAGTAGAACCAGTTCTATTTTTGAAGCAGTAGCATGGCATGCTACAACGACAAATGGCACGTTTCTGACAGCGCTACTTCAGTGTGCGCTGACGCATTTATTGTCGTTTGTTCAATTCGACGTAACTTTTGCTAGATGCATGTTACTTGCCAGATTACGTGCCACGTTTGATGCTACGTCACTTTGGTGGGCTCTCACTAAGGGTTCTTTGCATTAGGCAATGATACATCATTCACAAGAGCTATATGGTTTCCATGTTAACAGGTTCATGTCAACCTCAAAAAAAATCTAATTCTAAATTAGATTAGAAAATCTAATCTATTCTAATCTAAATAAAGTAATGACAAATCATACCTATTTTCAGCAGTGTCATGTATATGTCTCCCTTGCTTCATTTCGCAATGAGCCCTCAGAAGCATCATCAAAAATTCGTTCTGTTCCCTCAAAGAATCAGTCTCAGCTCCTCTAAACTTGGCTAAAATAGTCATCTGTTCATCCGATTCCAACTGTTCCAGTCTATAATCAGTACCTAAATATTAACGCTTAATCGCCTTTTTTGTATAAGACTACCTTCTTAATATGGCAGCTTGTGTTTTCTTGTCAGACATGTGCTCTATCTCGGTGCAAAGTTTGTGAAACCAAACCATCGGACAGTGGTCGCACGACGTGATGGGTGGTCGAGGTTTTTGTTCGGAATTTAAGAAAGCTTGTGTAATAGCTAAAAATATATTTTCCTATAATAGTAATAGATTATTATGCCATACGATGAAAAAAAAACGGCGTCTAAGACGAAATTAAACCACACACACCAGAAATCCATTTAATAACTGCTGTCAAAAATATCTTTATATAAAAAAAATACAAACAGAACTTTAAAATTAATTCTTAGTTTTTTCCTTCAAATCGTCATACCTGCTACTGCATCTGTTGCAATTGAAGCCGATTCACATTTAAAAATATATCCAGTAAATGTTTGCATAGCTGGAGACATTTCCCTGCATATGAATCCAAAGTGCTCTGACCTGATCAAACCCTGAAATAATTTACCAATATATTTATTATATTTAAATTATATACCGATGACAACAAAAGTGTCATACAGAAGGCACGCATCAAAAATGTCCATTTAGCCAGAGAAGCTTTCAACAAACAACATTCAAAATTTTCATTCAACATTCAAAAAACAATTCAGAATTCAGAAAAAATTATGTGGATTAAAATGAGACACAACATCTGTCGCTGGCACGTATCCTCTCGCTGGACAGTCTTTACAAAAATTTACATTCAAAATGTGAAAAATATACAGGGTTGTTCTGTTGTTCACAACATACGACACGGAGTATTGTAGCTGAACGATTAGATTTTTACAAATTGTAAGTTTTGGGTTCGTTGAAGGACTATTAGAGCCACAATTTATGTCCCAAATAAGTAAAAAATATGATAGTTGTATTTTTTAAATGGAACACCCTGTATATTAAAAAATGTCTATATCTATGTGGCGGATTCATCTTTCCAAAAAAATCCTATATGGGTATTTCGACACTGCACTGCAAGAAAATCTACAAAATAAAATAATTATTTTTTGTAAACACTTCTGCGTTAAACCTAAAACAGACGCTGCTTGTCAGAAGTTATGTTTACAGTAATACAAATTTGCCTAACAAAGAAAAAAAAATGCTTAACGTTTCGGAAAGTTATCTCTTTCCGTCGTCGGAAGCAAAAAAATACAAAGAATAAAGAAAAAAACTACTTAAAATATTTAAATTCAACTATTCGAGAACACTTTACTTTTTAAAGCTGATACGTCTACAAGAAACCGTTGACGTTCTGTTAAAATGACATTTTTAACTTGATATTTAAACTTCAAAATTAACAATTACTACCTGATAACAATTACTTAATAAGGTAAAACCAAAAAGCCCCAAACTTTCTGTATGATTATTTTTAAATTTTACGTATGTTATGTTTATTTATCTTGTTGTATCTATTGTTCTTTAAAATCAAAGAAGCGATTGCCATACATTACTAACATCTACAAATGTGAGGATTGTGTGGCTCACCCCTATAACTTTTTTATTTTTTCAGTTAAAAGAACGAGATTTGGTACGTTAGTATACGACATAAATTAGAATTTATTGACATATTCAACTGTTATCAGTCACTTCCTGTTTCACCGGAAATGACTACAACTTTTGATTTTTAAATGGCACCCTCGGAATTTCTTTACTTTATTCGATAGAAAATAACACTCTGAATAGAATGACATATCATATATCAACTTTTGACATTTTTGCATGTGGCTTATTTGAAATTATAACTTGCGGCTCATAACGAAAATTTAACTTGAAATACCAAGCGTGGGGTATCAAATTATTCGTAAAAAATACTTTTTCCAAATATGCTAATGAGCCACCCTTATTCCATTTGAAAAAATTGAGATATGACTAAAAGTACGATTTGGTTATCTTTTAACCGGCCAGGACAAGACATTAAAAACATTAGATGATCAAATCTATTTTTTCAAGGCTCCTTGATTAAGAATTAGTGTTTTTAACATAGCCATGGCACTCTAGATTGAAACTTAAAATACAATTTTTTATTAAGCGAGAATGTCAAAAATTGACATATGATATGTGATTCTATTCAGAATGTCATATTCTATCGAATAAAGTAAAAAAATACCGAGGGTGCCATTTAAAAATCAAAAGTTGTAGTCATTTCCGGTAAAACAGAAGTGACCAAAAACAATTGAATACGTCAATCAATCCTAATTTATGTCATATACTAACATACTAAATCTCGTTTTTTTATCTCAAAAAATAAAAAAGTTATCTGGGTGAGTCACTTTTGAGACGCACCCGGTATATAAGGTGTTATATTTAAATTAAACAAGTTATTGCCGTTTAAAGCTAGTAATTATTTAGTATAAATTTTTGGACACTATGTTTAAGGTAGTATAATTTTTATTATTGCAACACAATATCTGATCAATAAATAATCTTAAGTAAATTATCATATTTTTTACTTATTTGGGACACTTTTTTTAAATTGTAGCTCTGATAGTCCTACAACGAAACCAAAAATTACAATTTGTAAAAATCTAATCATTTAACTACAATACTCCGTGCCGTATGTGGTGACCAACCCTGTAGAACAAATGCCAAATATATTTGGTTTTGAAAGGGGAAATTTCAAAATCAGTAATACATAGACAACTTTTGTCAATCTTTTCTCGTTCGTTTTTTGAACTTGTCAATAAAAATGTCAAAAAGAGAGAATGATAAAGACTATTTTTATATTGGCATTTCACCAGAACTTAAAGAAAATAAAGAAAGAGCAGCAAAAGAAATGGAAAAAAAAGACGAGTGTGTGAAAATTGTGAGAGAAATGGGTGATATAATGGTTTCTATGTCAATATTTTAAAATGTCAGCAATATCAAAATTTTATAGTTATATACCTGAACGCACGTAGTGATATCCCTGTGATGTTTATGAAGCAAAATAACTTTCCTATCTGGACTGATAAGCCTCAAATCAGTTCTGTCAACTTGCAGTACCATAGTTCTATTATAATCATTGATATCCACGGTCTGATTAGCATCACTATTTTGCGGAGATGATTCTCTCTGCTCATCTGCTTTATCCTGTTGTGACGTTGAAGCCTCTACAATTAGAAAACCCATACGAAGTATAACATAACCGTCATTAATAATTGTGACATTAATACCAGAACTAGTTTCCTCTTCATCCACGTTAGCGTTTTCGTCAGAAATTTTTTCTAATACTTTTAATTTGCTGCTGTCCACCTCACTAATTTCCACCTTCCCAAGTGCAGTTTTCTGTAGCATGTTCGAGTGATGTGACAAGGATCGTTGAAGTTGATGCGTTGGGCTGGAAACTGGAGAATTGTTTGAACTACTTTCGGGAACATCCTGGAAGAGTTTGCCAAAAATTTTATTTGTATTATCTTTAATTGAAGAAATAAGAAGATGCGCAACCTCATGTGGTACATAATTTTGTGGCACACAACCTCTGTCCGATACCGTCGCCGCTATTCAACCTGTCCGAGATTTAGTTTAGCTCTGCGCCGCGGCGCACTGATAATTGTTACAGCGCAGCGGATAAAGAATACTCTACCGTAATTCTGCTTTCAGTCGAGAGAGCGGGTGGTTACAGGAGACAGTGTTGCCAGAACTACGGATTAATCCATAGATTTACGGATTTTAGGTACAGTACGTTAATAATACGGATTTTAAACAAAGAACGGCATTGAACGTCAGAGTTGGCTTGGAAATGAAGATTGTTGTTATTTCATATGTAAAATTGTTAAATGTTAACAGTCGTAATTTCCAAGCCAACTAAACAACTTTTTATTCGTGAGCAGGTTTGAAGTGGAGGCTAAAAATCAGTTTCAGTATTTTCAAAGAGTATGGTTTAGGTATGTGGATGATATTTTTGCTGTTTTTGACACACATTCAGACACCATAGATAATTTTATTCCTAAGTTAAATAATCGTTTTCCCTTCATTAAATTTATACATGAAATTGAGAACAACGACAGATTACCATTTCTAGATGTATTAATTATTAGAAATACTAATAATTGCCTGGAATTTGATATCTTTAGGAAAAATACCACTACACGCAGATATATTCCTAATGAATCATATCATAGTATTTATCATAAAATGGCTAGTTTAAATTTCTTAGTTCATAGATTACTTAGTTTTCCACTTTCCAACGAAAGATATGAAATAGAAAGATATTACATTAGGAATGTAGCTGAGTGTAATGGATATTCTCCATCAATAGTTGATAAAAGAAAAAATGTAGGTATAGGTTAATGATTTCTGAAAATTCGACTTTTCAAGTGGAGAAAGATACGACAAAATATTTTTCAATACCGTTTGATAGACAGTTATCCCGTGTTCTAAAAGGAATTTTTAAGAATGCCAATTATAAACTTGTGTATAGTGCAACAATTATTAGGCAATCCAAAGGATAAAACACCTCACTGGAAAGGTCAGGTATTTATGAAATTTCTTGTAAAGATTGTGATCAGAAATATGTTGGGCAAACTAGAAGATCAATATTAACTAGATTTAAAGAACATTTAGCTCAGATAAGATATGGCAGACCTGATAAATCTTGCGTTGCCGAACATATTGTTGATAAAGAACATTGTATAGATCTTAATAACTTAAAATTACTTAAACAAGTCTCAAATTACAGGCAATTAGATGCATATTAAAGCATCATAATTAATAAATGTAAAGATAGTATGAACAGGGACAACGGTCCAATTCCTTCAAGTTCTTGGTTCCTACTACTCTAGTGGCGGAAATCTAACTGTTACGCTCGGTGGGTTCTGACTCGGTTGGCTAGATCTTGCCACGCCCACTCTGTGCCCACTGAGCGAGTATATAAAAGCTCCAATTGTAGATTGTATTTTAGTTTATAATCATCTGCTGATGATGCTAACATGGTTAGCGAAACGCGCGTCCAGTTTAAAAGTAAAAGTATTTTGGTGTATTGTGGTGATTTAGTATTTTATTTTGCTGTTTATTCTATGTTTAACACGAATAAATTTTCAATACATAAACGCGGATTTTCCATCCAAAGATATTTTCGTCAAACGTATGTACTTGAGGCGTAAGGGGAAATCAAATCAGCCTTGTCACGAATTTGCCCATTAGATTGCGTATCTTCCCAATTCTTTCAATGAACGGTATTATGAAGTATTAAAGTTTAAAACTCACGATTGAACCTTTCCTTAAAATGTTATCTTCGCTTTGCAGTCTGCCAATAGCTGAAATATGTTTTAATTTGTTTTTTTCGAGCTCGTGAACTCTGAATTTTTCTAAGGCGTCATCTATGAATGTGTCCGGAACTTTCTTCTGCCATACTTTTATTTTACCTATGTATAAAACCTACAGATGAAAAAACATACATTTTTAATATTTTTGTTGTCTATATATTATAATATATAATAATATATTCCATAATAAATATATACATATACACAGGGTGACCCATTAATGCGAGAAAGTCAATATCGTGGTTGTTTTCGAAGATATGAACAAAGTTTTAGGGTGAGCTTTTAGTTAAGTATCACAATTTTGACAAAAAAAATAATTCAGTTTATGTAGAATTCTATAAGAAACACAAAAATGGTAAAAGAAATAGGGGTTGCTATTTAAAATTTTAGGTGTAGGTGCCCTGGGGGTCAAGGGGTTGAAGGTAACACGACAACAAATGCCTCAAAAATTGTCCCCCTTGATATGTAAATTGACGTGTTTCGCCAAATTTTCATACTATCATCGGTAGAGGCAATATTAAATACTGTTCGTTTTCAAATTGTCACCCAGTATATATTTTTCTAAACACCAAGAACAAAAGAAGGAATCTGCTAAAGAAAATTTACATTGTCTTATACAGTGCATTTTTATGACCTCTTCAACATCGCAATATTTAAAATGCTATATCTATTTTTTTAAAGCAACATCCTGTATATTATTTTTCGATTAAATGCGGAATCCAAATCTAAACATTTTTTGTATGTAAAGTGTTTCTAAATTTTTAACGTTTTCCCGGATATTCGCGGTAATATATTACATGTGGCTCTTTCAACAGAACATTTTTATCAAAATCACAGTATTTTTGGAATGTTCATTTTGGGGAAGAAACTATCATTGCTTCTGTATTTTACAAAAAATATTGAAATAAAATTAAAACATCTCAAAACACAAACCTAATGTAGAGCTTTTTGGGGCACAGGGAAAACCCTGTATAAAAAAAAACATCTTCCAAAAATAATAATTAGTCGTTTTTTTTTTCATTTTTACCTCAAAAAAGTTACTAGAGCTCGGTGATATGTCCACGCACAAAGATGTCAAAGTAGCAGCACTGCTCAGAGACCTAGTAGGCGTTACGTGGCTCTGCTCCTTCATTTGTTTATACAGATCTGTCACCTGGAATGAAACGAAAAAATTATCAATAAATAAAATTTTACGCTATTAAATAAAAATAATAGTGAAGGTTATTTTGGACACTTTCCAGGGGTCATCTATATAAACAGCATATTGAACTTGGTTTTTTATTGTACTGTTATAACATTTCCAGACCTGTTATATTCTGGATAATATTTATAACTTCCTCAAATATTTCTACACAGTCTTTTAGAATGAAAGTTACATATTTTTTTAAAAGAACTTAATAGTCTAATTATTGAAAAAAAAATGATATTTGTTAAATTAAGATTGTTTAAACTGAAATAAAAAAAGAATTATTATAATTGACCATTTACATAATTAAGCTTTTTTTTAAATTGTTGTTCCTTTTTCTTTTTAGCTTCCAGAAAGCAATAAAAAGGTTTCCTTCTCATCCAGGAACTCAAATATACTCCAAGAAATGTCAAGGGCTATGTTTTTTTTTGAAAGGTCACATTGTTCTTTTGAAAGGGCACATTGTTTTTTGAAAGGGCTCATTGTTCTACTTATGCTAAATCTTCTTCTTATTTACAGGGTCGTGCCCTATATACAGAACGTAAACGATCTCTCGGATATCATCAGTTTTTCAAAAGTATATACAGGATGTCCCATTTTCGTGTGTTTTATGGGGTTTCTCCATAGAGTTAAAAATTAGGTTTCTCGTTTATGAGAAGATACAAAGATGCGGTTTTAATATCACTGAGCCACTTTTTTATAAAATTAAAGACGCTACTTACTCGTCATAGCTCTCTTAGTTCCTGAAATACAGGGCGAATTTGAAAATGCTGTATTTTTCGAGCCATGGCACTCTAGTTTGAAATTTAAAATATGATTTTTTTTAGGTGCCCGGTGGCGTAGGGGTACAGGCTCTCGTCTACCAATCTCAAGGTGTGGGTTCAATTCCCACACCCGGCATTTCATCAGCCGACTATTTTTATTAAAATAAAAATAGTTTGGGTACCTAGGTCGACTCAGCCTTAAATGAGTACTTGGGATTCACAATCCTGAGGTAATAATAGGCGGTTGAAGCGTAGTGCTAGCCACGTTACCTTCCTTGTATACCGAACGGATCTAGTATAGCAAGATGTACCTTGCTACTCCCAAGGCGTTAAACGCTATATACGGGAGCTATTATGTTATTACTTTTTTTTAAAGCGAAATTGTCAAAAGTTGGCTAATGATATATCATTCTGTACAGAGTGTCAGTTTCTATCGAATACAGTAAAAAAATACTACTAATAGAAGGTGTCATTTAAAAATCAAACGGTATAGTCTTTTCTGGTGAAAGAGGAAGTTTATCATTGAATACCATTGAAATACCTAATTGAAGCGTCCAGGGAACAAACTTGATAAACGCCAATTTCTTAATTTTAGGATTTTACAATATCATAGTAGGTCTAACTGATCCCTACAAAATGTATAAACTCTGCAGGACAATAAGTTATTAAAACCTATGATATATGCCTGGTAAAAATCTAGAATACACGGAAAGAACCTGATAACCACCAGCCGTCCAGTGCTCTCCTGTAAAATTAGTGAAATAACGCTTATCATGTTTTTTCCCTGAACTCTTCAATTTATATCATATACTAATCAAATCTCGTTTTTTATCTGAAAAAATAAAAAAAAATATAGGGGGTGAGCTACTACGTGAGAAACACCCGCTATAAGGTGTTCCATTTAAATATTTGAATACAGAGCCATTTCTGTTAAAACCGGAAGTTACCGGACTATGAAAATATCCGAAAAATCTCGCCTTCATTTACATTGTCATTATTTTTTTTTATTAGTATCATCCTTGATTATTGCATCTAATACATTAAAGGTTATAGCTTGTCTAACAAAAGCGTTCACACAGGCAAAGTTTTTATTTCGATACAAATTTGTGATAATGTATATGCCAGCCCTACTTTATCTGATCCGGACCTAGAGGAACTAAACTAAATAAAAGACTAGTTTACGTACGAACGGATGGGGCCAGCGCGATCGATGCTAGGCAGGAGTGGGGAGTGCCAGTCGTATGCCGTATGTTATCGGATCCGGACCTAAAGGAACTAGAGGAACTAAATAAAAGACTAGTTTACGTATGGAACAGCCAGCGCGATTGATGCTAGGCAGGCGTGGGGAGTGCCAGCCGTATGTTATCGGATCCGGACATAGAGGAACTATTAAAAGACTAGTTCACTGGAATCTATTCAGTCGGCAGATCCGAGATATAATAGAAGGCGACGACGATGGATTCGGCCTTGTCTATTGCCACAGCCGGCGCGGCGTAATTACCACAGAAAATTGTCGTGGATACTGTTTTTGATTTTTAGTTTGTTTTTTAAATATTTTATGGGAATGTTTCACTTTAGGTCCCTAAAATTAAGAAATATCTTATAAAACGAAGTAGATATTCTGAATTTTTAGACGAAAACAAAAATCTTGAAGTGAGGAAAAATGCAATTTTTCGTAAAATTTTTGTTATATTTGCTCCAATTGATTTGTGATATAGTTTTTTAAATTCTGATTTGAGTTTTTTTTATTTTTTTTTTATCTGCAATAAAACTTACCTAAATGTTTTTAACATACACAATTACACGTCTCGTTATATATCCGTACATTATAAAAATTATACAGATCATACCGTGAATAGTTCTGACTGACAACGAAACGCATTAGCAAGCAAGGGGAATGTCAATGTTAGTCGGGAACTATTGTGAACTAAAGACCTAGTTCAAGGAACTATTCCTCTGGAGGAACTAGAACTAAGGAACTAGTTCCTCTCAAGAAACTAGAATTCCCACCTCTACCTCCAGTATTCGAGTGGGGTATTTTAATACCCCAAACAAAATTCTACTTAGATGTCTTGTATTCTTTAACCGTAGTGTGTAGGTGTGTGTGTTGGAAGATCGCAATCGCGTCGCCAACTTTTAAGATATACTTTATTGAACATCCTTTTTTGGATGTTGAGGAACCATCAAGATCTACTGAAGTAGATGATTTTGAAATATTACATGCTCAAAAAACCCAGTTAGCTAGTCCAAACGCACCAAATGCATATGTAAAATCTCTCATCAATGGCGTAGCAAATGAGGCCCAAGCAGTTTCTTACTGCGAAAATTGAAGCAATAATATTTAGTTGCAATTTACAAGTTTTTCAATGTTTAAAATTGTTATAATTTAAATAAATGGAAATGATTTGCATAATTACTAATCTGACATCCCATTCTTTTAAATTTTCCTCGTTAGAATTAATTGGGATAATAAGGCGAGTAACAGAAGGTTAAAAAATCAAAACATTGAAGACAGTGCAACAAAGGAAACAACACCTCCAACAAAGAAACACTTACAACTTTCTTTTCTATATACGAAGCATCGCTCATACTGTGTGCCTCAGCTATATAGGGACTGTGAATCCCTACGGGAATAGAAATCCTATCCAAATTCATGTTTAAAACACACTTTTTCACTGCTTTCCGATCGAAAAACTCACTCCGCACGCCGACGAGGTGTTTTCCAGTAAAATGTTAAAAATAGCATGGATCTGTGTCAGGAAAACAACCGTAACACGTATGCAAGCGCGGAAATATTTTAAAATATGATCGAAATCGGTTCAAAGTGTTTTTTAAAACAAAATAATAGTTAAAATATGGATCGCCAGTTGAGAAATACGGAAAAAAGTGGTGAATGTGGCCGTGGGTAGCCGAGCCAGACTTCGAGACTAGCGGGAACGAATCCCCGCTGACGGTATATCCAGTTATTTTCGGGAATCACTCATTCACCTAGTGGCTGGCAAGCGTAGCCGTTCAAAGTCAAACAGGAACTTAACCTTTGGTCCGGAAAAATCGGTGAAAATGTTTTTAACATTGAAAAACTAAACAAGGATAGTTTCTTTATTGTCTGTGACAATGTCGCAATTTACTGGCTTTATTTTTCTACTTAGATTAATAAAATGGTGGACGGATTACTCTTTTTTTTCAATAACAAGGGGCTGTCCTCTGCCGGAAACACTGCGACCTGTGGGGTCTATCGTGTTTGTCCCCTTTCTATATCTGCACCCATTCTCCTATTCCTGTGCTCTGCAATAACTTGTGCAGGTCCTAGATAGTTCTTCCAGTTCTAGCCTAGCTTTTCCAAATAAAAAGTGTCGCTTGCGATCCAGAGCCTCGCAGTTACAGGTTATGTGCTCCACTGTTTCAAGATCTTTATCGCAGAGTCTGCAGCAAAAACTTCCTTGATGCAGGTTGAGCTTGTTCAGGTAACACTTGATAGCCATGTGTCTTGTCAAGAGGCCGGTTCTAATCCACACTTTATTCCTGCTAAGCATTAGAAGTTATTTTGCGGTTTTAGAGCTAGGTCCTTGGATAAAGGCCTTGCTGGGGGTGTGCCCCTGTCTGTTTCTCCAGTGGACATGATCCAGAGTTTTAGTGCACTACGAGCCATACATTTGGGTATTCCCAGTACTGGCTCTGGACCAAGATAGAATGGCGATGATTCTTGCCTAGCTAGCTCATCGACTTTTTCGTTGCTTTGGATGCCGCTGTAGCCCGGCACCTAGAATAATTTAATTCTATTCCTTCGTGTCAGAGCTCCCAGTTCATCTAGGCATTCCCAGATCAGTCTCGACGAACCCTTCGGGTCATTGGCGCCTCAAGTGCCGCCTCGCTGTCTGAACATATATTGATGAGCTTACCTGAATAAGCTCTTCTATTATTTTCTCTCGCATATTGTAGAATGGCGAAGATTTCTGCTTGAAATACGAGTATTTACACAAGGAAAAGGATAAGTTTACCCTTGGTCTTTCCCCAAATACTTCCAGCTCCTGTTTCTTCAGCGGTCTTTGACCCGTCTGTGTACCAGGTTAGTATGTCCTGAAGAAATGTTATATCTGTCCACATTCCTCGATCCTTTTTGTTCACCACGAATGGTTTGTGGTATATATAAAGAGGGGTCATTTGGTCCGATTTCATTTAAAGAAGAGGTCCCCTAATAGAATC